TAGCACCGCACCATAATGTAATAATTGTGGGGGTTTTCGCCGAACGATATAATTAGCACCGCGCAAATGGAAAGAACTCAGATAATTCCCGCGCCCCGGCACTGGTTGTATCCCAATTGGAATTGGGAAAAAAGAATACGAATAATAATACGAATAAGAGTAATAAGAATAATAAGAATATGAATGACAATCATAATCAAAATAAGAATGATATTCCCAATCGGAATCCCCCGTTGCGTTCAGAGCAGTTTCTGAAGATGTCTCAGGCGAGAAGCCTGCTTCAGAACCACACGGAGACCAGATTTGCGAGAATGTCTCAGGCGGGTTGCTTGTTTGGGCGGGAAGCATGATTTGGCGAAAATGTCCAGCCGTTTCCGGTGTGCGGCACGATTCCCAAGTTCCCAGTTCCGGGCCTTGGCATATTGTCAAAACGTTCCCCGCGAATTGCAAAAAGCAGGTACCTCGGCTCCAAAATAGAGAGAAGAAAGATAGTCGAAAGAGAGCAGGGAGAGTCCAAAGGGGAATCCGGAATCCCCATAACCCGCACAGCTGCTGAGAAGTGTGAGGGGACGGGCGGGGGGCGTCGGCAGTCTACGTAGCCCGCCGAAGGGGCCTTCTGTGGCAACTCATGGAAGCCTCCCATACCAGCTTATTGCCTCTTGCGAGTCGACGCTGGTCGATGCTAACCATCGCGAATCAACGCTAAATCGACGCTAATCGACGCCAGTCGACGCTAAATCGGCGCAATATCATAGACTACCAGGCGCTAAATCGACGCTGGTGCACTGCATTGCGAGGGTATGTAAGGCCCAAATGATTTGCTACCGAATTTTTGATCACTAAACAACAAGCCCTCCGCAAGCACCGAATGCGGTTCGCATGTATATGGCGGTTGGGTTGCGGGTGGGTCGCGGGCGGATCGCGGCTGGGTCGCGGGCGGGCTGCGGGGGGTCGGTCGCGCGGGCGGGTCGCGCGGGTGGGTAGCGGGCCGACCGCGGGCGAGAACGACGACAACAAGAACAAACTGCAAAATCCACAACGAGGAGACCCACTTCAACCACGCACGCAGGGACAGTGCAAGACCGTTCGGCCCCCTCACTCTCATACGAAAATCCCAAAGAGTTTAAGAAAGTACAGATAGCATGGAGTGGACGCGGAGCAAACATATGTTGTATTGCGTATTATAAAGTATTCCTGTTAAATCGTTCCTGCTCGTCCGTGTGACACCACGATTGTTCCCAAACCGCTACTTGAATCGTTCCCAAGGGGGGTCGCTGCATCGGCACACAGAAAAAAACGGGAACGTTCAGCATGCCAAGATTTCATGAAATTTGTGACGTCCTCACGGGTGTCTGCAAAAGCTTCTATCGGAATGGAACTTGCTCGTTGCTGCACTCAACTATGCTTGTTTTCCCTACAATCCTGTGGTGTTGGGTCCTCGTTTTGAAAAGGCAGCATCCCGCATCCCACCTCCTCTCCTCTCCTCGTCTCTCCTCTCCTCTCCTCCCATTCCTCCTCCCCCTCCTCCCTCCCCCCGTCATTCCCCCCACTTTGGCACACACACACACACACACATCACAGGCGTCGTGGCCTCATCAGGAGATCCACAGAAGGCCCAAATGCCAGCGCTCGCATACACCCACCGCGCCCATTTTGGCACACTTCTTACACGTTTCTTCGCCCCATAGAAAGCTCCGCCGAAGGCCCAAATGCCAGCGCTCGCACGCGCCCGCCGCACCCATCTTGGCACAGCCCTCGCACGCTTCGTGGCCCCACAGGGAGCTTCACCTAAGGCCAAAGTGCCAGCGCCCGCATGCGCCCACCGCACCCATTTGGGCGCACTTCTCGCACGTTTCTTCGCCCCATGGGGAGCTCCACAGAAGGCCCAAAATGCCAGCACTCGCATGCGCCCACCGCGCCCATTCTGGCACACCCCTCACATGTTTCGTGGCCCCACAGGTGTTTGGCACACCCCTCACACATGTAGTGGCCCCATAGGGAGCTCCACCGAAGGCCCAAATGCGTGCACGCATGCACCCACCGCCCCCCTTTTGCCACACCCCCCGCACGCTTCGTGGCCCCATAGGGAGCTCCACCTAAGGCCACAGTGCCAGCGCTCGCGGGCGCCCACCGCACAACTTTGGGCACACTTCGCACACGTTTCGCGGCCCCATAGGGAGCTCCACCGACGGTCCAAGCGCCATCGCTCGCATGCGACCACCGCGCCCATGGTTGGCACACCCCTCACACGTTTCGTGGCCCCATGCGGAGCTCCACAGAGGGCCCAAAATGCCAGCGCTCGCATGCGCCCACCGAACCCATTGTGGCACATGTGGCCCCATAGGGAGCTCCACCCAAGGCGGTGCATACAGCGACGGTAATTACCTACAATTGCATATGGTTGGGTCCTTCGTCTGGCTAGTTATATTGCTGATCCCTTCGCCTCTCACTCTCCGTCCCAAGCTTGTTTTCCGTGCGAGCAAGATCAACAGCATCGAACGGATGGTCGCGAGAACAACAAAAACGGACTTCGATCCCAAATCAAATTCAAACCAGCGCGCGCGCTTCGCGCGCGCTCAAGTTCTACTTGCCATGGGCCAAGCGTATAGCGCGTCAGAGGGGCCGTGTCCAAATGATCAGGTCCTTGGCTTGGAAGCCCACGCGTTGGTGTCTGAAGCCGCATTGAGGCTTTGTGTTCGTGGCAGTCATGTGATATCCTTGAGAAATAGTGCAACTCTCTTCGGGACCAGATGGGCCTCAGAAGACATTTGGAGCCACACTTTCGCAACACATGGAGCTTCCGGAGGAACCAAAAAAACGTTGGGATTCCTTGGTGTTGCCTGATATGGCCATCTTGGCTCTGCAAAGTCCTGTGTGGGCACGCTGGCGGCCTCTTGGCACCTCATTGTGCTGCTGGAGACTTCCTAGGGCAGCCTGGGGGCCTCGTAAGAACGTCATTGGGCCCTCTTGGAACTTCTGGACAGCTCCAGGAGTCTCCTGGGGGTTCTCGGAGGAATTAGGGGGCGAGGGCAAAAGTGGAAGGGGGGAGGAGAGAGTGGGGAGGAGGACGAGGAAGGAGCAGGAAGGAGGGCGGAGGAGGACGAGGAGGAGGAGAAGGAGAAAGGAAGAAAGATGGAGGGGGAGTGAGAACGGGAGAAGAGGAACGGGGGACGGTAGAGGGAGGAGAAGGTAGCAGGAAAGGAAGTAGAGCAAGAGAGTAAGAGAGGAAGGCTGGAGGGAAAAGGAAGGAGGGAGCAGGAGAAAGGAGAGACGGGTGGACGAAGGAGAAGGAGAGGAGGCAGGAGAAGGAGAAGGAGGAGGAGAGGATGGGGAGGACAGGCGGGAAGAGCGTTTGTCGGAGGTGAGGGGGTGAGATCGAAGTGGAACGGAGAGCCCCCCTACCGGGAAATCGATTTCGGTTTCGTGTTCGTGCGTGCCGTGCGTGCGGGCGAGGCGAAGCTGCGTGGGCGGGCGAGAGGAAAGTCTCCTGTGGCTGAGGCGCGGCCGGACCAAATGATTCTCCACCGGGCGGCCGGTGGCGCGCGGTGTCCCGCCGGTGTCCCGGTGGTGTCCTCTGTGGCTGAGGCGCGGCCGGACCAAATGATTCTCCACCGGGCGGCCGGTGGCGCGCGGTGTCCCGCCGGTGTCCCGCCGGTGTCCCGTCGGTGTCCCGTCGGTGTCCCGATCATGATGTTGATGATGATGATGATGATGATGATGATGATGATGATGATATGTGGTGTGTTGATGATGATGATGATGACGTCGATTGTGAGATCGATTGTGATATCGATAGTGAGACCGAATGTGAGATCGATTGTGAGATCGATAGTGAGATCGATTGTGAGATCGATAGTGAGATCGATAGTGAGACCGAATGTGAGACCGAATGTGAGATCGACTGTGAGATCGATTGTGAGATCGAGTGAGATCGACAGTGAGACCGAATGTGAGACCGAATGTGAGATCGATTGTGAGATCGATTGTGAGATCGATTGTGAGATCGATAGTGAGATCGATAGCGAGACCGATAGTGAGATCGACAGTGAGACCGAATGTGACACCGAATGTGAGATCGACTGTGAGATCGATTGTGAGATCGATAGTGAGATCGACGGTGAGACCGAATGTAAGACCTAATGTAAGATCGATTGTGAGATCGATTGTGAGATCGACTGTGAGATCGATTGTGAGACCGATAGTGTGATCGATTGTGAGATCGATAGTGAGATCGATAGTGAGACCGAATGTGAGACCGAATGTGAGATCGACTGTGAGATCGATTGTGAGATCGATAGTGAGATCGACAGTGAGACCGAATGTGAGACCAAATGTGAGATCAAAGTGAGATCGATTGTGAGATCGATTGTGAGATCGATAGTGAGATCGATAGCGAGATCGATAGTGATATCGATAATGAGATCGAATGTGAGATCGATAGCGAGATCGATTGAGTGAGACGTTGGTTCCCCCTCCCCCCTCACCTCCTTATCACCCGCAGGGTGGTCGTATAGGTATATTAGTATCTGGATACCTTCTTGTACTGACTTGTATAAGAATCATCTTGTAGTCTGTACGGGGGCCGCTCGGGGAACTCATGAAGGCCACTTGGGCGTCTATTAGGGGCCTCTTTGGGGCTTGTTGGGCCCTCCCATGGGGACTCTGTGGGCCTAGTGGGGACCGCCGGGATGCTCTGGGCGGGGCCATATTGTCGCCGAGGGCGATCGGAGGGAGGCTCGGGGGGCACTTGGGGGTCCCGTTGTTGATCTCCGAGGGCCCTCTCGAAGTGCTTTTGGGCTGTCTTGGGCGCCTCTTGGGTCGCCTTGGGGCCATCTGGGGTTTCGTGAAGCCTGTAGGGGTCTCTTCAGCGGCCTTCGGGCGCTCTTTGGGGCCTCTCGGAGCCGCCTGGGACGCTGGTGGGACAAAACTGGCATGACGACAGACCCACCAATATGAAGCTGTGGGTACCGCAGTCGTGAATATCGTCTTCGGTGGAGCACCACCTTCTGGGGGCACGAAACATGTGAGGTGTGTGCCAAAGTAGGATGGCGGCGGCACGCGGGCCATGCCACTGATGCCTTCGGTGGAGATCCCTCTAGGGCCTTCGGTGGAGCTCCCTTTGAAGGGACACGAGACGTGTGAAGGGTGTGCAGAAATGGCCGCGGCGAGCGCGAGCGAGCGCTGACACTTGGGCCTTCTGTGGAGCTCCTGATCGGGCCACGAAACATGTGAGGGGTGTGCTGAAGTTGGTGCGGCGGGCACATGCGGACGCTGCCTTTTGGACTTCGGTGGAGTTCTCTCTGGGGGCCGAGAAACCTGTGAGGGGTGCGCCGACGTGGGTGCGGCCAGCGCATGCGGGCGCTGGCATTTGGGACCTTCGGAGGAGCTTCCCATGGGGGCCACGAAACGTGAGGGGTGTGCCGAAATTTGTGCGACGGACGCATGCGGGCGCTGGCTTTTGGGGCCTTCGGTGGAGCTCCCAGTGGGGCCACGAAGCGTGTGAGGGGTATGCCGACATGGATGCGGCGGACGCACGCGGGCGCTGCCTTTTGGGCCGTCGTTGGAGCCCCCTGTGGGGGCCACGAAACGTGTGAAGGGTGCGCCGACGTGCGGCGGGCGCACGTGGGCGCTGCCTTTTGGGCAATCGTTGGAGCCCCTTGTGGGGGCCACGAAACGTGTGAAGGGTGCGCCGACGTGGGTGCGGCCAGCACATGCGGGCGCTGGCATTTGGGGCCTTCGGAGGAGCTTCCCTTGGAGGCCACGAAACGTGCGAGGGGTGTGCCGAAGTTTGCGCGGCGGACGCATGCGGGCGCTGCCTCTTGGGCCTTCGGTGGAGCCCCCTATGGGGGCCACGAAACGTGTGAGGGGTGCCGAAATGGTTGCGCGGGTCGGAGGGCAGAGGCAAGGAGGAGGGAGGAGGGACGAAGGCGAAGAGGGCGAAGGCACGCGGGGCGCTCTTCTGAAAACGACGACCCAAATGTCAAGGTGGTTGGGAAAACGAATATGCGAAACATACATGGATCCTCCTCCTCCTCCTCCTCATCTTGCTCCTCCTCCGAGTCCTCCTCCATACTCCCAATCTTGGGGCACGACGTCTCACCGAGCCCTTCATTCCACTGCATTCTCATCCACATCGCTGAACAGGGCAACTCGTCTGGGCATCGTCTCTGGATGGTGTGGTGGGGGTACGCGAAGAGTCTAGAATTATCCTCCTCCTCCTCCTCCTTCTCCTCCTCCTCCTTCCTCCAACTCCTCATGCTCCTGTTCCACGCTCTTCCACACGCTCGTTCACTCCATCGATTGCTAACGGCACGTGAGGCGCCGAAAGGGCAACACCATGCCCGATGGGGGATGTGGTCCGCGCGGAGACGACAGCACCGCTCTCAACCAGAAGCGGGGCCAACACTGATTCTGGCGCACCGTTCTCACAAACCGACGTGGTTGGCGCTGGAACGAAAGCACCGCTCCCAAACAAGAATGTGGCCGTCGCTGAGGCGAGAACAAAAACCATAACGACTTGAGTCGACGGTACTATACTTTCTAATAACATGCGATCTGCGCTCCTGTCGAGGCGCCAGCGCCGGGAAACCGACACGACTGAACAGAGCCGACTGTGTATGAATCATGCAGCGATGAGCGGAAAGTAGACAGGAAGGAGCAGAACGAAGAGTGCAGAGTGCACAAAGTAGAGAGCAGAGAGCAGAGAGTAGAGACCAAAGAGCGAAAAGGCGAGTGCAGACGGCAAAGAGTGCAGAGTAAAATTGGAGGGTATATCCGCCGGCCCCCTTGTGGGGCCACCAGGCTGCGAGGCACGGGTTCGCAGTTTCCAGTACCAGTTGTAGCTTGTAGTTTCCAGTGTTACAGTTCTGCTTCTTGCTGGTTACTGTAACTAGTTGATTGACCGCGCGAAGGGGGGGGAGGCCCAAACGGGATTTTTAGCACCTCCCGGGCGCGTTGTCTGAATTGCTGGGGGGGCTCGAAATCGACACCCCTCACGCAGATCCGCGGGGTCAGGGTCCAAAAACACGGGGATTTGCCACATTTCTCAAAATTCGGTGCCACCCCTCACGCAGATCCGCGGGGTCAGGGTCCAAAAACACATGGGATTTGCCACATTTCTCAAAATTCGGTGCCACCCCTCACGCAGATCCGCGGGGTCAGGGTCCAAAAACACAGGGGATTTGCCACATTTCTGAAATTCGGTGCCACCCCTCACGCAGATCCGCGGGGTCAGGGTCCAAAAACACATGGGATTTGCCACATTTCTGAAATTCGGTGCCACCCCTCACGCAGATCCGCGGGGTCAGGGTCCAAAAACACAGGGGATTTGCCACATTTCTGAAATTCGGTGCCACCCCTCACGCACATCCATCGCAAGGCGTGGTAACCCAAACTGCGAGTACTCCCTCGGCCCTTTAATCCCAAGGTGTGGTAACCAAGCTCGTAAACCATACACGTCTTACCAATCGCCCTGTGTGGTAACCCCTCTTGTGATCAGTTGGTTTTGCCGATTGCGAATCGGCCTCGCATGAAGTTCCGATACTGCTGCACGACAGCGCCAAAGCCTCATGACTTAGCTCTTCCATGGCCCATTCTCCGAGAGAGGGGGCCGGCGGCAGGGGGCGAAGTCCTTACGGATATGTGTATATATATATATATATATATATATATATATATATATCACATGTACGAAACATGACACAGACTAGGCTGCAGGAAATAAAATATAGAGTCGAAAGCGCATGGTAGAACGCAGAGGGTAGAGAATACAAAAGAATCAAGAGACACAACTGACCACATTGGTCATCATGTGCTCCTGCCAACCACAACCGCGCCGCCTTCTGATTTTTGTTGCGTGCGAACCACGGGCAGCTCAGATCAGGAGGAACACGATCAGGAACACGATCTGCCGCACGGGGCCGCGCACGTCGTAGGTGCTCAGCAGGGACTCGCCCGCGGCCCCGGCGAGCATCGCCACCCAGAAGTTCGCGAGCGCCCCGTTCGATGCGTTGAGCTCGGCGCCCGCGATCAGGAGGCACTGCAGCGCACCGAGAGCGCACAGGACCGAGCGCTGTCCGATCCGCAGCAGCCGCGAGAACCTCCGCCTCCTGGGGAGCGCCGCGCGCGCCGATCCCACCAGACCGGCGCCTGCCACGCTCGAGACCAACCCTCCTCCTCTTCCTCCTCCTCCTCCTCCTCCTCCTCCTCCTCCTCCTCCTCCTCATCCGCCATCTCCTCCTCCTCCTCCTCCACTTCCTTCCTCCTGCTCCTCCTCCAACTTCTGCTCCTGCTCCTCCTGCTCCTCCTCCACCTCCTCCTGCTCCCCCTCCTTCTTCTCCTCCTCCTCCTCCTCCTTCTCCTCCTCCTCCTCCTCTCCTCCTCCTCCTCCTCCTCCCCTCCTCCTCCTCCTCCCCCTCCCCCTCCCCTCCTCCTCCTGCTGCTCCTCCTCCTCCTCCTCCTCCTCCTCCTGAACAGAAGGACGCGAGCGAAGACCCGAAGATGAACGATCGGGGTCGAAAACCGAATGCCGCAAGGCCACGATCGGCACCGATGACCAACAGGCCACCGCAACGGCTGCCGGCGACCCGCAAGCAACGCTCGCGCGGGCGGACCGATGGACCGTCATGTGGACCCTGCCGCCACAGTCGAGGTCACCAAGAGTGGAGTTCGGGGGCAACTCATGGGAGCCCTCCATAGAATCCTGTTTCGGGGAGACTTAAGACTCGGGTTCTGCGGCCTCTGGTTGGCCCGACGGGACCATCATAAAAATGACAGGACCAATCTGAAATTTGGCGCATGCTCCCGCTGCAAGCATCCCACGAAAGCTGGACCGTCAAAATTCAGGGCGGGCTCGTCAAATGCGTGGGCAAACTCGAGCTCCGGCGTTGCGAAACGGTGCTAGTCGACGCTAAATCGACGCTCTCGATGCCCGATCGTCGCTAATCGACTCCAAATCGGCACGCTTGCGTCAACTACAGGACGCTATCAACGCTAATGCACTTCAAAGACGGAGTCACGAGGGCACGCAAAGCTCACATGACTCGTGAACCAGCTTCAGGAGTGATGGAAGAAAAGAGAGGGGGAAAAGAATCGCTCGAGCCGCGAGCCCCTGGACATCTCGAACCCCTCGAGACCATTGTTTTGGGAATCGGCGATAACCCGGGTTATCCCAGGGGGGGGCGGGAGGAGGGAGGGGGCCAGCCGATAACCTAACCTTCGCGCTGTGGGCAGCCCTGCATATGCCCGCGCCCCACCACACCGGACCTGCACAACCGGCAAGGTCAGGATATCCTGAGGGGGGGGGAGGGGGGGCAAGCCCGATACCCCAGGCGATCGCTGGACCCTTAACAAAAACAGTCCCCTCCCCGGGACCAGCGTTTCATCCCGAGTCGCTCTTTCTGAAGGGAAACTGGGACGCACAAGTAAATGGACACAAGTAACCAGACTCCCCCTATCTTCCCACATGTTCTGGGCTTCTGTCTTCCCCCCCCCACTTCCCATATTCTCCCCTGTTTCCCGGGGCATCGACGATTCATTGTGCCTGTGGGTTTTATTCGGCGGTGGACACACCTCCCTTTAGTAAACCTCCCTTTCGCGAAAACGGCCTGGTACCGAAACCGCCGGACCCGGACCTGCAAAAACTGACGGCCGTGACGCCCTCCCGCGAACCGAGAACGGCCAACTCGCCAATCGACGTGTCAGGGTGGGAGATCTGTCCACCTTCGTCGTGCTCTTCTGCGGGCAATACTTCTGTCCATGTCCACTGCGATATGGAGTTTCGAGTTCCCTTCCCCAGAAACCAGAGGCGCGCAGGATATGGATAAGTTTGCCCCTTAGAAGCTCGATTTTGATCCATGTCCAGTGCGCCTCGGCCTTGTGACGCTCCGTCCCAAAAAACCCACGACGCGGATACGAACCTTGCCCGCATCTTCGTCGTGCTCTTCCTGCTCTTCGGGCTTCGCCTTCGTCTTCGTCGTGCTCCTCGTGCCTCCTGCCTCGACCCCCCCCCCCCCAGGGCACGCCTCCGGTGGCCTCCCCCCCCTGGAGGGAGAGAGCCACGAGCGCCGCCCCCCTCGACGGAGCCCCACGACGAGTCAGGGCAGGAGGAGGAGGAGGAGGAGGAGGAGGAGAAGGAGGAGGAGCAGGAGGAGGAGGATGTCTGTCCGCCCCCGATCTAAATCCCCTCCCGACTTTCTGGGCCCGCCCTCGGCGGCGCCCGGCGCGCCTGGGAGGGCGGCCACCCCACGCGCGCCGGACAAATAGGGCACCCGCCCGCGGGCCTTCGGGACGTCGCGTGCGCAGCTCGCGTCCCGTGCCGATCGAGAGGAAGCTCCGACACGACTCTGAGGTCGCCAGAGCTGAAGGGAAGCTGGGACACACGAACAAAATAGACACAGACAACCAGATTCCCCAGATTTCCCCATATGTTCGGGGTTGCTGTCTTCCCCCCCCTTCCCATAGTTTCCCACATTCTCCCAGGGAATCGACGAGTCACTGTGCATGTGTTTTTTTTCCCTCCTGAAGAGTGTCTGCGCAGGTGAGGCGGTAGGACCTCGACCGACCTCGGCGCCCCCGTCGCTCTGATGATGACTGTCCACTGTGGGGGAGTCAGCGACACCCGTCCCAGGGACCCCGGGAACACCATGCGCTCATAAGTTTCGACGCTGGGGCATGGAGAACCCCTCTACCCTGGGACGCCGCCGCGACTGGCACCACCAGGCCCACCACCGCGATTGGAAATGCCCGCGCACCGCAGCCGAAATCGTCGGAGCAGGGCCACTGGACGACCAACAGAGGAGGAGGAGGAGGAGGAGGAGGAGGAGGAGGAGGAGGAGGAGGAGGAGGAGGAGGAGGAGGAGGAGGAGGAGGAGGAGGAGGAAGAGAGAGCGAGAGAGCGCGCGGCTGAGGGCGAAGGGTCTCTCCGCCCCGCGCGCGGCCGCGGCCGCGCCTTCGGCGCGCGGGCAGCGGCGGCCGCCCAGCGCCGAACGTCGAGGGTGTACTGGGAGCGCGCGCACTCGTACACCACCACCAGGACCGGGTCACAGCAGCCCCAGCTCAATCGCCACGTCCCCGTGCGGCGATTTCCCGTCTGCCAACTTGGTGAGTGCCGCCGTCGCCTTCGCCGAGGGAGCCAGACACTCGCGGGCGAAGCTCGAAGCACGGCGCGACCCCAGCGCGCCACAGGTGAGGCAGGCGACGACGGGCATCCTACGCACCATCTGCCGCTCGTTCTGCGGCCGCACCCTCGCAAGGCGGTGGGGCCTGAGCCCGCCGCTGCGATGAGCAGCGTTCAGGTCGAGAGCCGCTGCCACGATGCTGCCCGGGCAGGCCGACTTCCTCTCTACCCAGCGGCACACCGCGCACCACCGCTTGCCCGCGGGCCCGCGCAGCTGGCACTGCAGCGGCGGCGCCGCAGGGGCAGCTGCCACAGCGCGCGGCGCAGGTCGATTGGCTTTGCCCCTGCGGTGCGTGGTGTCCGCGCCGCCCACCGCCGAGCCCACCGCGGACAGCCACATCGCCACTCCCTCCACCATCTTCTCGCTCTGGAGCAGCTTCAGGCGGCTGGCGTGAGGAAGCCTCGCATGGGCCGCCGCCGACTTGGCCGCCTGGTCCGCCAGCCTGTTGCCGTACCAGTCGCGGTAGGACACGACCCCGTCCAGGATCTGGCGCCTCGCGCAGTGGGCCTTGACCCAGCGGATCGTCAGGCCCCCCGCGCACAAGCCCCCGAACTCGTCGACAAGCCGCCACACCTCCCTCCAAAGGTGCGACCAGGCGTACACGTACGAGCACGTGCGCTCTCGACCGTCCACCGTGAGGCCCAGGAACACGAACTTGGAGTCGACCACGGCAGTGACGGGCGGCACCGCGTAGCGCAACGTAGCGAGGAGCGCGCTCAACTCGCCGCCATTGATGTCCATGAATGGGCCAGTCAGCATGCCCGAAACGCCCGTCGAGAACACCTCGCAGTTGGACTGGAGCGCGATGACGGCCCAGCCCACGCTGGTGAACTGGGAGCACTCGCCCTCGAAGGCAGAACCGTCCAGGAAGAGCTCGCCAGATGGCAGCACGCCGTCGCCGTTGCCGAACCAGCAGACCGCGTCGGACCGAGGTGGCATCACGAGTCCTTTCGGCGCTGGCCACAGCGCCCGCTCCAGGAGGCAACGCACCTCGGGAAGGTCATCAGCACGCTGCCGCAATAGCCGCATACGCTCGGGCAGGCGCAACTCCTCTGGCCGTCCTGTGCAGTCGCAGTGCCGGTGCAGCAGCGTGCCAGGCTCTCCGCACAGCAAGCAGTCCTCATCTTGCGCAAGCCCCGCGCAATGCTTCCGCTGCTGGGGCCACTGCCCATCGGCGCATCGGCGACAACCGATGCCAAGTAGCCGCGCTCTTTGGGCGTGAGCCGCACAACCCTGCCAGCAGCATCACGTGGCACGCCGGCGCTCGGTGACCTTGGGGGCTCCTCGGCAGCGCCAGGAAGGTCACCGGCCCCGGGGGCCTCCTGGCCAGCGTCCGGCAGCACACCAGCGTTCGGTGACCTTGGAGGCTCCCCAGCAGCGCCAGGAAGGTCACCGCCGGCCCTCGGCGGCCCTGCAGCGTCGCCGCCCTCCACGTCCTGCGCCTGCACATGATCGCCGAATACACCCTTGCGGCTAACGGCGCCTGTAGAGGTCATGCGAACCAGCGGCTCGAGCACACCGCCGTCACGCAGGTGGGCAAGCTCGGGCTTCTTGGCCACCTGCTGCCACTGCCAAGCCTCGACCGCACGCCACAGCAGCCGCTTGACCAGCCATGGGCTTACCTCAAACACCTGCAGGAGTTCGCCCTCGTGCGTGCGCCACGTGGCCGCGTCGATGATAGTCCAACCGATTCTCTCCAACGTCATGTGCACCGCAGAGAACGGTCCACGCACCTGAGGCCAGGAGGAAGCACCGCACTGCATCATGCCGAAATCGATCACATGCCGGGGCAGCCAACCTTCCCACACGGCCCGCAACAGCGCCATGACAGGCAGCACGGTGGCCCGGCACATTGGATCCATCATCTTGGCCAACATGAGGGTGAGAGTGCGAGACCGCCCTGCAGTGGAAGGCACCATGGCGGAGAAGACGAGCGACCGCGTCATGTCCAGCTCGCCCGTGGCGCAGCCCGTGACGCTGAAGCCGTAGGACACGCTCGCCTCCAGGCCGGAGCGCGCGACCTTCCTGGTCGCAAGCTTGCGGCCGCGTCCCACCTTCAGGATGTTGACGCGCCGGATGCGGAGCCCCGCTTGCACCAGCTTCTCCTGCCTCACCGTGCGCACGATGCGCTTGCCGCAGGCGAAGTCGACCCCGAGGTTGCGCTCCCCCTTCACAGCCTGCACGCCCAGAGGACGACGAAGGCGACGCTCGAGGTCCTGACGGGCACACGGCACGTTTGCCAAGGCCCTCGACTTCTTCACTGCCACGTTGAGGTCCACCTCCTGCAAGAGCCCGCCCAGGCGAAAGGCAGCATCCGCCACCTCCCGCGTCACGCGCGCCACCCCGCCGACACGATAGAGCATGAGGTCGTCCACCACCACCGCCAGAGACACCGCCCGGTGGAGCGCCTGCAAACGGTCCAAGGGCTCGATGAGCATTAGCTTGAGGAAGGGCGTTGCCCACCCATCGCCTGGCAAGATCGCCTGCTTCGCCACAATGGGGCACGACGAAGCTGGGCCTAAGCACAGGATCCGCGGCGCGCAATACAGTTCAACCTGCAGCTTGAGCTGCCAAAGGGGGAAGCCCGTGCGCCTGGCCGCATCGAGCAACCAGTGGTGCCGCACCTGCTCGAAGGCCTTGAGCAGGTCCAGCAGCGCCGCCACCGCCACCCACGACATCTCGTCGCCGTCGTGCTTCCCTTTCGCCGTGGCCCACTCGCCCATGGCCGCCTGGTGCCACACGGCACGCTCGCAGCTGCGCCCAGCCGACGCCCACCAATATGAGCGAGCGTTGCGCTGCTCCCACTCTCGCGCGATGCCGCCTCTAAGCCGTGCCTGCACCCGCGCCAGGATCATGATGATCGCAATCGGCCGCACGCCGCCCAACCGCTTCTCGAGGAAGCCGATCTTGGTGGAGAGCTCGGGCCACTTGGCGTCGCGCTCCACCGCCACCAGCACATCGATGAACACCTCCAGGGCCGCGTCGCACAGCTCGCCAAGCTGCCGCGGCTTGACGACGCAGAAGGACACCCCCGAGCCCTTCTTGAAGGTCCGGAGGACCTTCCGGAGCTCATCGACCGACGGCCGAGGCGGCCGCTCTCCAAGGTCCGGCGGCCATCGCAAGGCATCCGGCTTGCACGAAGTCCTCCACCAGCGGCTCCACTCCTGCTCCAGCTGCTGGATCTCCTGGCCAAGGTCGGCGGGCGCGTGCCACTGGGTGGCTGCGCTGCCAGCCTGGCCGCCCTCGGCGGCGAGCTCGCCCACCTCTTCGACGTCGGGGCTGACGTGCATGCCCTTCGGCACCTTGGACACAGCATGAAGCCCGCCACCGCCGCCTGCGGCCTGCACGGCAATCCAGTCGGCGAAGCGTTTTGCCCGCTCGTCCATGTCCTTGGCAGCGAGCCGCTGCGACTCCAAGTGGACGGCCTTCGCCATGGCGCTCAGTTGCGCCAGTTCCAGCCGATGCAGCGGCAGGTTACTCAGGACACGGAGCCACATGCTGGCGTCCAAGGCAGGCCCCGGGCACTCCACCCCACGACGGACGACAGGCGCAGAGCGCACAACGTCACCTTGGGCTGCCTCTTTCACCAGCTTGGGCGCCTTCCCGAGCAGCCCGCGAACACCTCGTAGAGCACGCAATCGCTCCAGCGGCCGATCCTCACAGGAACCAGCGACCCGAAGAAGCTCACCCAGTCGATGCAACCACGTCGCCTCCATGGACACGCGGGGCCAGCGTGCAGCGCGCGGCGGCAGGCGACGCACCCAGCGCTGCACGGGCTGATGACCACGGCCAGTGTGCTTGCCGCGATCCTCCTCCACCTGGTAGATGTCAACCCACTCGTGCTCCGCCTGCTGCAGGAACCACTGCCAGGCCTGAGTGATGGGCTCGCTCGGCGCGCCTGCATCCCCTGATGCATCCCCTCCGCCATCGTGCTCTGGCAGGGCCGCAGGCGACTCCGGCGCGAGCCGCCCGTCGCGCCCTCCCGCGCCACGCGGCCCTGACCGACCCGAGCCGGCCAACCCCAGCAGCAATTGCACGTTGGATGACGTGGTGGCCCATCTCAACGCGCGATCCTCGGACACACAGCCCATGGGCCTGTCGACGGGGAACGGCTTCGGCAGCTCCAGCACGCGAATCCATGGCCTCTCACGCTGGCCTTCTAGAGTAAGCAGCACAGGCCGGTGAGGAGACACAGGAGACGACGTGATGACCTCCACCCCACAGCTTGATAGGCCGAGCCACCAAGAACATATCAATGGACCGCTCGGACTGCACGCAGGTGGCCTCCAGCGTGGTCACGCACTCCGCGTCGAACCAATTGAGAATGCCGAACTGCTCCAGCTCAGCCTTCGTTACGTTTAAGTCGCCGCCCACCACGTACGGCATGCCGTACTCACGCAGCCGGATGGCCAGCATCCGAAGGGCCTCGTAATTGCCACGATTGACCCCGACGCCCGACTCCAGGTACACATTCGCAAGGATGATGCCTCCGCGCACGAGGCAGCTGCAGTGCATGATCGACACGCGGCCCTCGATGAGGATGGCTGGGCGTCCGCCCAACATGGGCGCCAAGCCGTGCTCCTCCTTGACCATGGTCACCAGCCCGCCGGTGGCCAATCCGCCCGCAAGGGACGGCACAGCTGGCGCAGCATACGCCCGCCAGCCTCTCTTGCCGAGGTCACTCTCGGCGTCAGGAGACCGAGCTGCACACAACCTCATCTCCTGGAACAGCACCGCATCGCAGGCGGTGATTTCCTCGATCATGCACTTGTCGATGTTGCTGAACGTGTTCATGTTGAGAGTGCCAAGCTTCCAGCGCGTGGGGCTACCCACACTGCTGCTTCTTGGCCAATTCCCTCTTTGCGAGAAGCTCGGTCTGCAGCTGCTCCACCCACTTCCGCTTGTCGGCGTCGCCTTTGCAGAAGTCGTCGTTGAAGGAGCTCCAGAAGCTCGAGTCCTGCAAGGGGTCTTGCATCTCGATGTCGTCAGCAGCCTCAGCAGCGGGAGGTGGCTTGCCCTGGCCACCCTCACCAGGGCCTCCAGCATGGCCTGCGACGGCGGCGACTTCGGCGGCAGGCTCAGGGCCGGCCGCGGTAGCCGCGGCAGGAGCTGCCGCTGCCAGGACCTTGGCGCCGTCCGCAGCGATCTGCGCGAGGAGCTCGCCCAACGGCCCCGTTGCTGCGCCGTCGCCCAGCTGGGCGGAGACCTTCTTCGCCATGCTGACGTACCTGCCGAGCGAAGGCGCTGTCGCAACGGCCTCCGAAGCTGCAGGCGCAGACGCAACCGCAGGCTCGGCCTTCGCCTCCTCGACTGCAGCTTTCGCCTTCTTGACCGCCTCGTCGAGCTCGAGGCGGAGGAGGCGCACCTTCTTCTCCTGCTCCGCCACCGCCTCCAATGCCTGCTCGGCCGCGGCGCGCCGCCGGAACAGGAGGTCCGTAGCCTTGTCCAGCTGGAGGGCCTTCTCGTCGGCCTGCACCTGGACCAGCTTGACCGCCTTGACCTGCGACAGCTCGCCCAGCGCGGACTTCGCGAGGAAGCGCGCTTGGCGAAGCTGCTGCCGCTCGGAAGGATCCAGCAGCGCAGCCATGCTGTCGAAGGTGGCGTCGTCCATGCCCATGTACACCGCACGCTGCTCCTCGGCCAGAGGAGGGCGCTGCTGCGACCCGCCGCCGCGCCCGCCCGTGCCCTTGCCGAGGTCGCCGTTGCCATTGCCACCTCCGCCTCCGCGCTTGTCCTTCTGATCCTTCCGGCCTGCGGCTCCAGGCCCATTGACCCACACGGCACCAGGAGGGAGGCGAGAAGCACCAGCAGGAGGCGGACGTGGGTTCCGCGTATCGGGACGACACCCGAAGCAGCCGGCCTGGCGGCACTTCTGGCGGGTCCCTCAAGTTATAGTAGTTGCACCAAGCACAGTTCCAGCCATCCCCAGCCGCTGCACGCCCCGCTGCCATGCCGCGCGCGCGCCCGACGGCCCACTGAGAACTGTCCTCGGATCAGAGGTCTCCTTTTTGCCTGGAGGCTGGACAGCCTCCCAGGTAAGCATCTTGAGCCAAAATGGCTACGGAGGAGGAGGAGGAGGAGGAGGAGGAGGAGGAGGGGGAGGAGGGGAGGAGGAGGAGGAGGAGGAGGAGGAGGAGGAGGAGGGAGGAGGAGGAGGAGGAGGAGGAGGAGGCGAGCGGAAGGGTCGTCAAGGGCCCCGTCGGCGGAAGAGAACGTGGAGGCAGCAGCTGCCCGAATCCCGGCGAGGGGGTGCGGAGCGAGGGCAGGAGGCGAAGATGCAAGGCAAGGGACGACTGGAGTTAGGTCGGGCCCGTCCCCCCACAAGTCGATTTTGGCAGAAAAATATTATGTATATAAAAATAAAAAAAAAAAAAACAAAAACAAAAAAACAACAACAACAACAACAACAACAAAACATGCCCCAACCATATTCGAGAAATGCTCAGACACAGTCAAAACAATCGTCCTCAGACAGGGAGACAGGCCCGACCTAAGACGGGTGGAGCGGAGCGTCTCGCACAGGCCCTCTGTTGGCCCTGTCTCCTCGCGTACAGCTTGCTCGCCTGGTACGCCCTGTTGGCCCACTGAAGGGTGGCGAGCAGCGGCATCACCATGAGCCAGGCTTTCAAAGCGAGAGCGCTGTATGTAGCGCCGGCTCCGTCGCCAAACAACATCCGAAAAGGGCCCCCACCGCAGTCGCCAATACCTCCTCCGCTGTAGGTGACAACCTCCTCGGCGGACTCGAGCTTGACTCCTAAGTTGTACAAGCCTGGGGCGCCGCCGCCAAGGAGGGAGGGAGATAGGGAAAGGAGGGCAAGGAGGTAAAATTGGGGAGGGGAGGATGGCAAGCAATTCACTCCATGCCTGCGAACAGAAGCCCATGGAAACGGAATGATCATGCGCGGGCTCCTGGGAGGATGATAGATTATTCCCGGGGATATCGATGTTGGGATGTCTGGATTGGTGTTGAGTGATCTCCTAGGTGATCTCACGAAGTCTCCCCAAAGGGCCTGTCAGGAAGAGTTGGATGAGCACGAATCCTGTGGGGGGCCTCCCTGGAAGTATTGAAGACAAGCGAAACCCGTGAAACGCAATTGTGTGATGACACATTGGTCCCTCTCAGGGAAAGTCTCGTCAGATATAGAGGAGCACGTAACCTGTGGCACACCTTGGTGTAATGGACATGAGTCGTTAGGCGAAAGATATTCAGAATTGCTCATGGTGGCATGCATGATATGTAGATCAGGGCTATGATTGAACCGTTGCCGGGGGATGGATAAAAATGGGCATATACAGGCCACAGAGAAATCGCCGAACCTGTCAGCGTGTGCGAATGGTTTGTCTGCTCGAGTCGTCGTCTCCGTCAGTCGTCGTCTGCGTCGCCACCTTTCCATGCACCCTCCTCAAGCCTGTCGGAGAGAGAGAGAGAGGAAAAAAAAAAAGAAGGAAAGAAAAAAGAACTCAGAGAGAGAGAGAGAGAGAACAAACAAAACATGCGTTCTCGCCTTTTCTGTTTCCCGCAGCTCCAAGACAGACGAAGAGGCCCAGAAGATCGCCCCAAGACGGCCCAAGAGGCTTCAAAGAGCGCTCCAAAGCATCCCAAGAGAACCCCAAAACAGCCCAAAACGCCTCCAAGACGGCCCAAGAGGCCCCACAGACGGCTCCAAGAGCGTGCCTTGACGGGGAACCTGAACGGACATTGCGAGCCCTCGGCCCCGAGAAGCTCCCAGGAGGCCCCAAGAGGTCCCCAAGAGGCCCCAAGAAGCCCGCAAGAGGCCCCAAGGAGGCTCCAATGAGACCACAAAATTCCTCCCCAGAGGCCCCCGAGAGCCTTCCAGAGTCCCCAAGAAGCATCCCTGAGGACTCGGGCCCACGTTAGCGTCGTCGTCGTCGCCACCGCCACCGCCGCCATCGTCGTCGACGTCCCCCTTCAGGCTCGGCGGCACCAGCCGTAAGTGCAATAAACATAGACGACCCCAGGAGGAAGGACTCATCATTCTCACGGGGACAGGGTTACCTCAGCATGCCCCATCCAAACTTCTCCGGTCCACGTCTTTGGCTCCACTCCGCTCAACACCCTCCTCTGCCGGTGTGGTGCGCGTGAGTGTGGGGAGGGGAGGGGAGGGGGACATCTAGAGGCCTCCTTGATGGGATCCGAATAGATGGGGTCGAAATGTCGCGCCGCATCGCCGATACATCGGCGATGCACCGACGATGCATCGGCGATGCATCGGCCATGCACTGGCGAGGTCGGCGATGCATCGGGGACCTCGGTGTGGAGAAAAGTGGGCCCCACATCGAGCCGCATCGCCGATGCATCGCCGATGCGTCACCGATGCGGCGCGACCCTCCGACCCCATCTGCTCCGACCCCATCTAGGAGGCCTAGGACATCTCCCTCCGCCTCCCCCCTCTCCACCGTAGCCATTTTGGCTCAGGCTTGGGCCCCTGAGTTATCTGGGGTAACTCGGGTCCGGGGTAACTCTGGCTTGGATTCCCGAAAAAGGAACCCGAGTTAGCCCTGACCCGAGCTACCCCTGGTGATGTGGGGCTCTGGACGCCCGAACTATCCGGGGTAACTCGGGTCCGGGGTAACTCGGGTTCGGATTCCCGAGAAACGAACCCGAGTTGACCCTGACCCGAGCTACCCCTGACGATTCGGGGCTCCGACAGGCCGTCCTGGCCCAGATCGCCGCGTCGGAACGCAACCGCCGCGCCGAGGCGGCGAGCGACCGCGCCAGGGCAGGCCGCGCGCGGCCCGGGGCGGGCGCCAGCGGCATCGGAGACGCACCGCCCCGGGCCAACACCAGCCCGGGTCAGTCAGGCGCTGCAGGGTCCTGCAAGGTCGGGCAGGATCCTGCAGGATCCCGCGCGACAGCCCAGGTCAATGCAAGCCTGTCTCTACAGGATCCCGCAAGATCCGGCGCCTGGCCGGCCCCCGATTGCATGGGCCCCCGTACGACAGGTTCGCGTCGTGTCGAACCCGGCGTTGGTTCCTGACACCGCAGGGATTGTTCAAACCTGAACGATCGGCCGTTCCATTAACGCCGCATCGTTCAACGACGGGCCGATTCTGGGCTACGGGCGGCGTTCAACCTTACACGCACGCGCTGGGGTCGCCGCCAGTCGACACGACGCGAACCTGCCGTATCAAGGCTCCCGACGAGAACGCCCGATCCTCCTCCTCCTCCTCCTCCTCCTCCTCCCTCCTCCTCCTCCTCCTCCTCCTCCTCCTCCTCCTCCTCCTCCTCCTCCTACCTCCTACCTCCTACCTCCTCCTCCCTCCTCCTCCTCCTCCTCCTCCTCCTCCTCCTCCTCCTCCTCCTCCTCCTCCTCCTCCTCCTCCTCCTCCTCGGGCCGACACCCTGCCAGGGCCTCTGCGCCCGCCCCCCGCCCCTGCTGCGGCCGCCCCTCCGCGCGAGCACCCGCGGCGCAGGGAGGACGAGATCGCCGCCGCGCTCTGCAGCAGAACAGCGCGCCGCGACTCCCGCCCCCTCCCCCCGATCGGGGAGGCGCAGGACCCCGGCTCGGGGCCATCAGGAGAAGGACGAGATCGCCGCCGCGCTATGCAGCAGAACAGCGCGCCGCGACTCCCGCCCCCTCCCCCCGATCGGGGAGGCGCAGGACCCCGGCTCGGGGCCATCAGGTGAAGGACGAGATCCGGCCTGAAGTTTTACGCGAGCTCCCGCTGCGAGCATCCCACGACGGGACAGTCGCACTTCAAGACAGCCGAGCCAACAAAAAAAAGGTCGGCGAGCCCGAGGTCTGGCGAACTCGAGTCTTGCGTGTCCCCAACAACCCATGTTCTTGCTCTCCCCCGCTCCCGTCCTCCCCTCTTCCTCGTCCCCGTTCTGTCGCCGGGCCCGGGAGCCGGACTCGATCCAAGAGGAGGCGAGCCCCATGACGTGCAGACCGCGAACGGAGTCCTGCGCCATCGCCATCCGCAGCGCTATGCCCGCCGCGAACGACGTCGAGAAGGTCGGCTCGTTTCCGAGGGCCGAGACGGCCGTCACGGTCGCGCCCAGCAGGCACATGTGCATCACGGCCATCACGTCTTTCAGCGACCACGACCACGCCAGGTGAAGAACCTCGGGAGCAGCCGAAGCATTGCCACAGGAGCGGGCGTCCAGGAAAGGACCCCCTATTGGCCGCAGGAGGGACACAGAAGCGAGACGGCCACGCACTTTGACCTAAACCTGCAGCTGCACGCTGGGCCCCCGCCTCCACCGCAGGCCGCGCGAGCATCACCAGGTCCCACGCAGCCCGACTCGCTGGCTCCTCGAGGGACAGGCAGCCACTGTACCGTTCCCTTCTTTATGCGAGGCGGGGATTCATCCATGCTCACCGCCCGTCGGATCGACCTTCGGGGTCCTCGGCAGGCAGTGGATACGCATACATTTGGCACCCCAAGAGCCCGAGCAAGGGCCCCCAAGTGTGGTCACGGTAGATGGGGTCGGAGGATCGCGCCGAATCGCCGATGCATCGGCGATGGCCAGCGACGTCGGCGTGGAAAAGATTGGGTTACACACCGATCTGCATCGCCGATGTATCGGCGATGCGGCGCGCCCCTCGGACCCTATCTACTCCGACCCCATCTGGTAGGCATGGAAGCCCGCCGACCCTGTCGGCGTTCGTGAAAAACAGTTCCGTTCGAGTCGTCCTCGTCGTCGTTGTCGCCGTCACCGCTCCCCTGTCGGTAGGCCCTCCTCGTCAAACGTCCAAGCCAAAGATAAGTCGAGCAGCGTCGCAACCGAGCCGAGGGGAAGCCCCTCCCCTTTGATCCCTTCCCCGCCTGGGGGGGGGGTCCCAGGGCGCACAGTCGGGATTGATGGGAGAGGACACGCGAGGGGACACGAGACCCCTCCGAGGGCCACGTTGCCGCAGGAGTGCAAGAAGACGTGGGTCGCGAAACTCAGGACACAAGGGTACTCTTGAATTGGCAGGGCCGACCCACGAGTCCCAGGCCCTGGAGGAGCACACCTGCTGGCCCCTTGCCACTGTCGCTCCGCTGCTCCCTCCACCGGGGGGCCCGGCCGGGGTGCTCGCCGGATGTCGCATCCCACACCCTGGGGGAGGGGGGGGACGCGATGGGAGGCAGGAGGGAGGAGGCAGGAGGGAGGGAGGGAGGCACAGGCAGGCAGGCGCCTTTCTCGCGGTGTCCCCCCTCCAAGAACCCTTGCCTGCGCGAGATGCCCTCCCCGCCTCCTCCGCCCTGTCCGCTTCGCCCCTCCTCCTCCCGACCCCCCCCCCCCTCCCTGCAACGTTCGTGCTGCGCCCCATCCTTCTCCTTGTCCTGCTCCTGCCGCGGAGCGTAATGACCGGGGCTATCCGGGATCCCGTCGGTGCTGACGCCGCCGACGGCAGGGAGGAGAGAGGGAAGCGACAGGAGATGAACGAGGGGAGGGCGGAGATCGAGCAAACGAGGAGCACAGTGGTTGACGTGGAGGGGCACGACGGAGCGGAGGTAAAGGTTGAGGAGCAGGAGCGGGACATGCCCGACGCTTCGCGCGGGGCAGCGCTTCGCCCCGCCGCGCGGCGGGCATGTGGGGAATGGCGCGGCCCGGCTCCGCAGCGATGCCACCGCTGCCCCTGGGGTGGTGCTGAGAGTGGCTCGCGGTGCCAGTCCCGGAGCCAGCTGGCGCCGCCATGGCGCCAGCATGAAGTCGGGCTATATCCCTCCACAAGGGGGAAATTCTACTAATAGCCCCAACATAGCCTGGGGGCTATTTCTTGACCATGTCTGAACCTTTGGGAATAGATTTTCTACAAGATGTTGAATAACTGCTCGTCCAAAATACCGCTGCATAGGAGGACAGGCCCGACTTAAAGCCAGCACGAGGGTGCTGGGACGCCCGCCGGGACCTGGCCGCGCCGAGGCAGGCGGCCACAGAGGGCGGGCCGGCAGCAGCGGCGCCGGCCGCGCAGCAGGCCTCCACGGCAGCGCCGGGCCGCGGCGGGGCGTCCGCGGAGGCTCCGCCGTGGCCGCTGCGGCTCCCCCTCCCCGGCGGGGCGCCTCCGCTCGGGGCACTGGCGCCCAAGGGGCAGTCGCAGCCCTCGCCGCCGCCGTCGCTCGCCGCCGGGCAGCCCGGCGCCGGCGGCGACGGCCAGGCGGGCTCCTGCGACGCCGCCGCTCCCGGCGCGACTGCGAAAGGGCCGACCAGGCCCCGACTACCATCAGCTTCCCGGAAGCGCCGGCCCCGTGCGCAACCGCGCGCGAGGTGGCGAGGAGCAGGCGATGGCGGGGGCGGCGGACGAGGAGTGCGGCTATGCTGCAGCCCGCCGCACGCGGGCGACGCCCCCGGCGCCCTGGCTCCTCAAGCGCCCGAAGCCGACGCCGCCCTGAAGGCGACCTTGACGGCTTCGAGTCAGGCGGCTGCACCGCCTAATTAGCAGCCAGGGCTCCCGGCGCAGGCGGGCGGCGCGGGGCACGGCGGCCCTGCGGGCCGCCCAGCTTCGGGGCTATAGGAGGGCTGGCGTGGCACTGGAGGGCGTCCTCCTCGGGTGAGCTCCCCGAGGGCGCCTCGCAGCGGCCCCGAGGAGCCGGAGGACGCGAGGGACTCTGGCTCGGAGCCGGGCGGCCCCGGCACGTCCTGGCATATACGGCTCAGGCGTCCCCCGCGGGCGGTCAGCAGACACCGAGGATCGAGACGCTGACGATGCGGCGGCGCCGCCAGCGGCGCGTCGCGCGGCCGTGGTGGCCACGCCTCCCCGGCAGCATCCGCCGCGGGCCCAGGGGGGCAAGCAACAGCAACGGCAGCCATCGCGCGCGGTGTAGCCGCTGGGCGGCGGTGCGACTTGCCCCCAAGACGCGGGCGAGCTCGCCATCGAGGCGCCCTCGACTCCCTCCATCCCAAGCCTGCTGGCCCAGTCGAGGTCGAGGTCCTCCCTCCTGGGGCGCCCCCGGTTGAAGGTGAGGTGACGGCGCTGACCCTCCCTCCCGGGGCGCCCCCGGACGAGGTCGAGGCAGGCACCCGCCCTGCCGGGGCGCTCCCCCGCGACGAGCGGGCCACCCCGGCTCCGGTCAAATGGGTTCCTCCTGGACCCGATGTCCAGGCCTCCGGCCTCGAGGCAAGCACCGAGGCGACGTTGGCGCGGCTCTGCTCCACCCTCCGCCGTGGAGACGGGCCCCGTGCCCCGGCCGAGCCGCTCGCTGGCGCGAGCGAGGATCCCGCCGGGCCCAGGGCGCGAGCGAGGGCTGGGGCCCAGTTGCGAAGTGGCGCTGGCAGGGCCCTGCCTGCAGAGGTGGAGCGGTGGGACCCGCAGATGCCGCGGCGCCCCTCCAACCCCGGCTCGGCCCGAAGAGGCCGAGCCAGGCTGCCATCTCGGATCCCCCGAGCTGGTCGAGGTGCCGAGGCTCCCGGGTTGCAGCCCGGTGCAGGCCCCCCTCCCGAGACCCCAGGCCCGGCCGAGGTGATGGGGCAGTCTTTGAGCAGGGACCGACCGTCCCGGCATTCCTAGAGTCCACGAGATGGTCTTAGAACCCGACAATGTTCTAAGAACAAAAAGAATGTTCTGAGAACATTCACCCGATGTGTTGTTCGCGCAGACCACAAAAGGCTCTTAGGACATTGCTCGGTAGGGCTATAGGCGCGCCAGGACGCTCAGTCACTGCTTGATGGCAGTAGCAAGCTGGCGGGCGGCTGGCTGCTGGCCCGCCAGGGCCCGCCGAGTCGGATCTTCTGACCCGGGGCAATCCAGACCCAGGTCAGCAGGAAACCAAAACTGCAATGCAGGAGAAAAAAAAACTGCAGCGCAGGTCTTCGCAAACCCGGGTCAGCCAATGTGCGCGGCCGCCTCGCGGCCACGGGCGGCTCCCTAACCCGGGTCAGCCAGAGGGGGTCTTCGCAGGATCCTGCAGGATCCGGCGCCCTGGCTGACCCCCGTTTGCACTGACCCCCGTCTCTTGAGCCCCGACCGAGGCGGCGGGGCCGCGGGCCGGCTCCCCATGTGGCTTCTCCTGCAGGCGGTGCCGCCCTGCCTTCGGGGGCCGAGCCGGCCCGGCCAGCGCTCCCTCCCGCGCCCCCTCTCGGTCGAGGCGCCGGCTGCCACCCCTCCCCAGAGGCCCATGCTGGGCCATAGTTATAGAATCTGGCTAGTTCTGGAGCCATGCGAAGAATGCACATCCAAAAAAATATGTAATGAAGAGATGATGCTGTGGCCCCACAGTTAAACTCCGCCGCAGGCCCCAGCTCGGGAGCGGCCAAGAGGGGGGTGTCCAAAAGGGGGGGGTGCAAATCATGACCGGCGGCACGTGCGCGGCCCAGCGGGGGGGCCAGGGACGCAATGAATCAAGAAGAGGCGCCAGGAAATCCGGGGAAACATCATGGCCACCGCCATGATACCCACCCACCCCTAGTCATCACCCCCCTCTTTTCCGCCCCCGAGGTAAACTCCGCCGCAGGCCCCGGTGGCAGCAGCCGCAGCAGGACGCTCACCGTGCCCGGGATCCCGGGCATATGGCGAGGTCGCGGTGCCAGCGGCTGCGGCGGCGGATCCGCGCGCGCTCACCGCCCTCGCCCCGGGGAGAGCGCGCTGGCGCGGCCCAGGCGCCGCACCTCCCGAGGAGGGCGCCGGCGGCGCTCCTGCGCATCCCCACGGGGGGGGGAAAGCGAAGGCATGGCTCCAGCGTTAAGTCGAGCCTGTCCCCCTACAGGGGGATTCTCGACGAAAAATGGAAATACCCCGAGAGTAATCAGAAAATAGTCCAAAAATAGTCTGGGGACTATTTTTGGAATATTTTCTGACCTTTTTGGGGCATGTTTGGTGTATTTTTAATTTGTCGTCGAAACTCCTCCTGTAGGCGGACACGCCCGACATCACTCCAGCGGCGGCTGGACGCCACGCCGTGCCGCCTCGCAGGCCCGGAGCTCGCGGAGCTGATGGGCCAGGTGGCGCGGCGGACATCGTCGCCGCCGCGCGGAAGTAGGCGGGCGGCATGCTGCCGTGGCACCGCCGGGAGTGAGCGGGGCGGCGCCGGCGCGCGCGCCCCCCGCGGGGCCTTCCCCCTTCCCTTCCCTTCCCTTCGCTCGTCTGTCGTCCGTCGCTCGTCTGTCGCGTCGTGCCACTGGGCTCCGTCTGCGCTTCCCAAAAAGTGCGCGCTCTGGAGGTAAGCCCGGCCGGGCACACGATCGCATGGCGTTGGGGGGACCGCAGCCTCGAGCTGTGATACGTGAGCGGGCCCATGCCCGCGGCGGCCGTAGCCCCAAAAAAATGGCACGCATGGCGACGAGGGAAGGGAATGCGGAAGAAGGAGGGCGGATGAGGGTGGAGGACGAGGAGGGGGGCGGATGAGGGAGGAGGGGGGTGAAGAGGACGCGGAGGACGAGGGAAGGATGACCACGAGGAACTTCGGAAAAGGAGCAGGTGCGGAAGATTGGGAGGGAAGAGGACGAGGAGGGTGAGGCGTGGGGAGGAGAAGGAGGAGGAACAAAAGGAAATAGGCAAGGAAAGAGAAGAATAGCGAGGAGGCGGCAGGGAGGCGCATGACGAGGGACACGAGCAGGAGCAGCAGGAGCCCCGTGTTCCAAGGGAGCCTGCCGGTCCGCGTTGTTGGAGAAGTCCTCGACCTGCTGGGCCGAGACGCCGAGCAGCGTGTGGACGGCCCCGAAGAAGCAGCAGAGCAGGTGGTGTGTCTCGCAGCTCATCTTCGGCACCTGCGGTCGGGCGATGCGAGCTTCGGGCGCATCGTGGGGCCGCGGAAGACTGGAATGGCCGGCGTTCTGCTTGCCTCCCTCGCAGTACCACAACTCTCCCGTGATCCCTCATCCTCGACCCTCGTCCCCGCCACCCATGCAGAGGAGCAGGAGCAGGAGGGGGAGGAGGAGGGAAAAGGGGGAGGGAGGAGGGGAGGGAGGGAGGATGGAGGAGAGAGGAGCAGGGAGCAGGGAGGAGGGAGGAGAAGGGAGGCCATGACCCCCCCTGTTGCCCAATCCCCAGACCCCTGCTCCCGTTCGGAGCTCCCGTCCCCATCCTGGCGCCTCCGCCCGCGCCAGCCCCATCCCCTGGTCGGGGCCTCGCCCGTGCCCCTCCTTCCCCCCTGCAGCTGCTCCTGCTCCTGCTCCGCGAGGAGCCCCTGCTCCTCCTCCTCCTCCTCCTCCTCCTCCTCCACCACCCTCCCCCCTCCACGCTCCTCCTCCTCCACCCTCCTCCTCCTCCTCCTCCTCCTCCTCCTCCTCCTCCTCCTCCTCCTCCTCCTCAACCCTCCTCCTCCTCAACCCTCCTCCTCCCCCCCTCCTCCTCCTCCTTATCCTCCTCCTTCTCCTCATTCTGCACTTCCCCCTCCTCTTCCTCCTCCTCTTCGTCCTCCGCCTCCTCCTCCTCCTTCCCCTCCTCCTCAATGTGTGACTGCTTGTCCTTCATCATCCTTCGAATCCCCTCTCCGCCTGATCTTCCTCATGCCTGCCTTCCGTATGTCCAAGATCCTTCTTCATCCACCCTCAACAAGCCCCCCACCTTGCTTTGAAACTCTCACACTCCGCTTCAATTCTTCAGCGCTGATCCCTTGTCCTTATTCCCTCTTCCCTTGTCTATGCATAGATCCCGGTTCTACTCCCTCCACGCCTTCTGTCATACATCCACCGCCTCCCCATCCCGTGTTGCGTCCTTGTCATGCTCTTGAGTGCTCTCATCCTCGTCCTCCGCCTGCTCAGTGTCCTCCTGCTCGTACTCGCTCTCTCTCTCTCTCTCTCTATTTTCTCTCTCTCTCTCTCTCTCTCAGTTTCTTTTTGTTATCTCTCTCTCTCTCTCTCTGTATCCCTCCTTCTTTCTCTCTCTCTCTCTCTCTCTCTCTCACTCTTTTTGCCTCTCTCTCTCTATCTCTCCACCTCTCTCTCTCTCTGATTATCATCCTGCGCCTCATCGTCTTCACTGCTTCATTCTGCCTCCACCTCGTTCCCCCCTGTAGACGCCCATCTCACTATTCTCTCTCTGCCCTCCTGGAATCAGGGACAGACAGCACGGCTAAACGGTCACGTAGGTCGTTGCGTCACTCCTCTGATGCGATCACCCATCCTGATCATTACATCTTGTGCTTCTTCCATCCTGATGATTTCATATATCCGGATTATGTCCCTCCACGTTGGTCCCTGGTCGATCCTCTAGCAGCACTCCCCCCGTGATCCCACCACCTTCCTGGGTCCATCTTACGTGCTCCCTGAACCGTATTCCATCCTCCTTGGGCCCTTACTCACCCATTCATCCTTTCATCCATCATGGCTCATCATATGGCATTCTCTTGCTCATGTTCCTCCTCCACCCTCCAAATCGACACCTGGGCCGCTCAAGGGTGGGACCCGACCAGGATTTCCGAGCGAATCCAGCCGTGGTGACTAGACTCATACATGAGCCCAACCCTCACGATTCTGTTTGATCCCCCATCATAACATGACATCGCGCCACAGGAGCCGATTTCAACAAAGAAACCACCCAGCTGTAGTCCGGGGAAACGGCCGGATTGTACCCGTGCCGTCTCGGGGGCTTCACAAGCTGCGCACGCCAGCCGTGCATTATGCATGTGCGCTCCGAATACAGAACATTACGTAATAAACCAGTATACTCCAACTCCGCTCCCTTTTCATCTCCCTACCCGTCCGTTTCCTCCTCCACATCGTCGTCCTCCTTCTTATCCGATTGCCTATCCTGGCCCCTCATCCCCTGGATTGGGGGGCGGGGCTGCTACTGGTCCTGTTTCACTCCGCGGCGCCCACTTGCGCAGCGCGTGCCCGATGAAGAGCGACGACATGAGGCCGTTCAGAACCTGAAAAGCCCTTCATATTCTAATTTTCAAACTCCTCCTTCTCCTCCTCCTCCTCCTCCTCCTCCTCCCCCTCCTCCTCATCATCATCATCATCATCCCCCCTCCTCCTCCTCCTCCTCCTCCTCCTCCTCCTCCTCCTCCTCCTCCTCCTCCTCCTCCTCCTCCTCCTCGTCCTCCTCATCATCATCATCCTCCTCCTCCCCCTCCTCCTCTTCATCCTCCTAATCATTGTTCTTCCCTCGCCACTTCCTCCTGTTCCTCCTCCTCTTCGGGTTCCTCCTCCTCCATCTTCTTTGCAAACAAGTGCGTGGATTGATGGCAAGTCGTTTTCACCGTGGTGCTCTCGCCTCAGCGCTGCGCGCATTCGTTTTAAAACCTTACAAGTCGTTTTCAAACTATGGTTTTCGCCTTTTGCGCCGCGCACACTCGAATCAAACATTCGCGGGGGGGGTTCACGGATGCGCATGGCAAACGCACCTGACATGTTTCCGATTGGTCCAAAGACCGCCAGGGCGCAACAGTTACACTGATCGCCAAGACGCACCAATCAGATTAAATTGTGCCGTTGGGTTATTGAGAATGGTGTGTTGGCACGCCCCCGGATTTTCGCACGTTTGTCCCCGTACGCGGCAATTCCTTCCGTGGCAACGCACCCTTCTAAGGGCCTGTTAGAAGGAGCTTGGAGGGAGGGTGTATTCCAACTTCGTTGATGACTCATGGGTTCTCACTGACATTCCTCCTCCTCCTCCTTTTCCACAACCTCCTCCTCCTCCTCCTCCTCCTCCTCCTCCTCCTCCTCCTCCTCCTCCATTTCCTCCTAGCCGCCATCACGGCACAACCACCCCCTTTCGCGGCTACTGTAACGACAGAGGCTATCACTTCCGCGGCAGCGATGGGCTTCTCTCGCATGCGGGGCCCGATGTCTCGGTGTGTGTGTGTGTGCGTGTGTGTGAATGTGTGTGTGTGCGTGTGTGTGTGTGTGTGCGTGTGTGCGTGCGTGCGCGCGTGCGTGTGTGAATGTGTGATTGTGTATGCGATTGTGTGTGATGTTATGTGTTTGTGTGTGTGTCCTGCGCCGCTGCCACAGGCTTTTCGCCGCGTGTATATCCGGCTTCTTCTCTTACGAAGGCATGGCACATCAGGACGCGTACGCCCCGCGCTCGTACAGGACGTTCTGCGTCGCCATCTACAACGGCTGAATATATATATATATATATATATATATATATAGTCTGTGTGGTGTCGAGATGAGGCCTGAATTCTCGAACAGTGTGCAACACAACTTTTTCAGGGCACAACTCGTCGGAACAGCGGGGATGATCCAAAATTGTCTAGACATGACAATCACTATGAACTTCGTTCGGTTTCACTAGCGCATCGAACAAGGCTTGCGGCACCAGTATCTTTCTGCATCGAAAGATCCTTCCCCAGGCACACCTGGCAGGACGTTGTGGCGCTGTGCGACTCAAATCATGGACGATGGATCCACCGCTGGTCAACAGGTAATTATTTTGTCTGGTGACCCAGCGAGTCGCGCAGATCACCAATTGGCGGTGCCAAAAAAAGGATCCATGGATACGCAAGCTGCTGTCCACAGTAGGGGCCAGGTGCACGCCCGCTACCAGATCGGCCCTCTACGACTGCCTGGGCATCTAGCAGGAAATGCATTGAGAACGGCTTCGGATAAATGGCACCGTTGAGAAGGACAGCGACTGCCCCGCCATCGGGACCGGCGGCCCCGATCGCGAAGGCATCAAAGGACGCTCGCGGGAACAGTTTCTGATCGGCCACCACCTCTGCGCTCGCAACATACTTCTCCATGCGGGCCGACATTATTTGGCACAGGGGGCATCATCATCACGACTGAACATCAACAATAACATCGGGCACTCCGTGCACATCTTGTTAAGCGTAGTATCCAACATCCTGTGGGAAAGCGTTCGCGCGCGATCAACGCATTGGACCACCGTGACCACCTCCCCCGTGGCTCTTGCGTTTAAGCAAGACTCGTGCGCGAAATTATCCGAGCCGGCTCAAAAATGGGACCGCGATCGAATAGCGCGGCCACTTACATGAAACACCTCTTGCGCTACGGCACCGGAGACCATTCACCAGTCGGCTCTTGATAGAGGACAAATCGTGAATGCAGCAGTGTCCAACAGCAACGCCCGGCGAAGCGTTGACTCAAATTAAAAACTGGGCCACAAATTCGGCCAATAAGATTTCCGCGCAAACAACCATCTGAGCAGCAGCCACAGCAATCTGAACTAGAAGCGACATGTCCGGCCCCTCTTCTCGAACGCAAACACATTCGAGGTCGCCACAGTGGCCGAATGTCGCAAAGGTCTGGAGTTGGAGCTGGAGCGCATCGCATATCGCATCCGGCAACTCTCGCGATCTTGGACCAATCAGCGCAGAGCTTTACTGACGGCTGAGCTGAATCAAGCCTGGACGGCTCATGATCACTGCGCCGCGCAACGGCTTATCCGCCGACTTGCCAGAGATGGACGCGGGCCCCAACGCCGCCGGCATCTTGCGGCGGAGGCCGAGCAAATGGAGGCGCATGAAAACACAGACTTCTTGCGTCAGCCAGATGCTGAGGGCGGTTCGGGAGCCGCACCGTGCAACCTACGAGCTGAGTTGAAGAGCGAATCGACCGTCCGCGCGATGACGATTGGGGCGTTTTGCGCGAGGTCTGATGCAACCCCACTCAAAATAAGGATCGCCATGCAACGCGCAACGATCTACGAGGTCCACTACGTCATTGAAGTCGCGCTCCCAAGATAAGGGCGACGCCTTCCATGACCGCCCCGCCCGAGGTCTGGCCACCATTGCTCGGCGAGGAGGGGCGGGGCGATTCCAGAGGCGCTCCAGGTTCGGATATGCGGCCTTCCACTGGCACTGGTCTTCTCGAGAGGCTCGTCGACGCGCTCGCCCGTTTCCCCCGCGCTCGGACGGCGCCGCGGACCCTCGACGTGTCCCCGCGTCACGGGCTGGCCAAACGCAGCGGAAAAGCAGTGGCCGATAGATCCGGGAGGATGCGCATCTCTGTTGCCCGCTGGGGAAAGCCCGGCACCCCCGCGCATGGACGCGCGCCCGCTTCAAGCGGGGACCCCCGCCACGCGTTCATCGCGGGCTTGCGAGACAGCGTCGCCGGGAGGACGCGATCGCCACCCGCGCGAGCACATCGCGGGGCCTGCAAAAGATGGGCCCCCCCGCGTGATGATCGGCGAAGACGCTCTCGAGTGTGTCGCGCAACGCGATAATGGAATCTCTATCGCCTCTCTATCTGTCTGAAAACGCGAGGTTTCAGGGATTGCGACCGGCGCTCAACGCCGCGCAGATCGCCGCGCCTGCGACGACTATTCCACATCGCCTCACCGCGGGAGGTGTCACGGGACATTCCAATGCCGCCGGGGGTTCTCCACCACTACCGCAGCGGCCTGAGTCCTCTTGCGCGAAGAGGGGGCCGACGTCGTCCAGGCCCTGCGCCGCGGGGGTCGAGCCAAACGAAATGGCGCTCGACGCAGGCGCCGCGCCTTTATGCAGGGGCCCAAGGACACACATATAAATACACACAAATAACCGGATTCCCCGAATGTTCCCCTACTTGTTAAGTTTTTGCCCCCCCTCCACTTCCAATGTGTTCCATCTTTTCTGAGGACTAGTCGATAAATTGTGTCTGTGTGTTCTTGTTCCCTCCTGACTTTCGCCGACGACGTCGCGAAGCTGGCCATCCCTGGCCGCGGGGCCCGCCCCGCGCCGAAGGCGGGGGCGACGCGCGCGCTCTCTCGGCGAAGGCCGGCGCGAGCGGCGAGCTACTGCCGGGAACGATGGGCGCGATCAGGGCTGTCCTGGACCGCGGCGAAAGTCGGCGGCGAGCGAGAGGGGGGAAGCGAGAAGGGGCGGGCCTCCTCAGAAGGCTCGGACGCCCCCGAGATTTCTGAGAGGTTTTCTAAGCCCCCCCCGAAGACAGGAAAAAAAAAAAAAAAAAAAAAAAAAAAAAAAAAAAAAAAAAAAAAAAAAACTCAGAAGGCGCGAGGGCTTCTGAGAAGTCCCGCCGCCTTCTGAGGATGCCTTATCCTCCTCACTCCCCCCCCTCGCTCGCCGCCGAAAGAAAGCCCCCGTCGTCTCTCCTGCTGTCAGCGGGTTTCCCAGCGGCGGCCCCCACGAAGCCAGGTCTCGGTGGCCCCAGACAAGGGCGGGGCGCCGCGCGGGCACCCCCGGGGGCTGGCCGACTTCCGTGGGCCCGATCCACGCTGAGGAACACAAGCGAAAACGACTGCAGGCAGGGAGGGCGGGCCTGGCGATGACCTCGAAGTCCCCGCGGGATCCCGCGGTCGTGAGAGTCGAACGGACGTCGATCATCGCCTTCGTGCAAGCTGCAGTTTCGTTCAGCATGGGAGCCAAAATGCCCGACAAATCTGCCAACGCCACCGCCGACAAATACTCACTGCAAGCCATGCGACGAGGCCTGGGCGCCCAGGGTCTCGCGAAACATCCTTGCGAGAAACAGCGCAGACGGTCCGCGGCCCGCATGACTGCCCCCTGGAGGATACCTTCCTGTTTTCTGAACTTCGGGCTCGGCGTCTGAAACGGTACCAGGCCTGGGGCGGGCATCCCGAAGCCAACGGGCAAGTGCGCGCGAGTTTCCTGGGGCGCTTGGGGGCGCCAGAGGTGGTCTCGGACTCCTGAGAGTTAACCTCGGAGGCGAATCCCTGGGCGATCCAGGTGTCCACGGATTTGAGTTATGCCTCCGAAGCCTCCGAGGCTATTCAAGAGCTCGCCCCCATCGGGATACCCACTCCTTCAAACTATTCTACGACGTCGAGTTCCGGACCTGGGTCGGCATCGACTCCACGATCCTTCGGGCTCCAGAGATGTCTCATGACTTCCCCCCCCCCAAGCGTCGATCCAGTTCCTGAGGTACTGTCGGAGGGTGAGGGGCCCGAAGAACTTCGGGGAGCCAGTCTGCCACGGTTGCCCGCCGCGGGCTGAAAGTGCGGCGAGCGCTTCAAGACGCCGAAGCAATTCCTGTCGCCCGCGGGGAAAAATCATCGGGCTAGAAACGGAGCCTGCCATCGAACCGCGACTGACCAATGCTTCCGCTGCCATCAAGTCCCGGGGCCCAGGGAGACTGCTCAGCGCCACGTCATGAGGTCCTACCAGAAAACTCGCTGCGCGGTGGGAAGAAGCCGTTTTCTCGCCCGTGGCGTTCGGCAGCATCCTTCTCTTCAGTGCCAAATTTGTAATCGTCAGGCCCAAAACTTGTTGGGACTGCAGTTGCACGTCAGAACGCACTGCAAGATCCCATCCCCGTCGGGTACACTCTGGCGTCTGCGGCCGCATGGCAAACATGGAAGTGGATCTCGCGGCTCTCGTGGCCCGCGGCAAGCACAAAAAGGACGGAGCCGACGACGACGCCAACATGTCTGGGGAACACAAAAAATAGACAGGTGGCGGACGATACCGACGACGACCTGGCGAATCTGGAGGGAGTACGACGCGGAAAAGCCATTCAGAGCGCGCTCTCGATATTGCTGAAGATGGCATGCCAAAATGCTCCACTTTGCGGGAACCCCGAAGCGTCGGAATGGATCTCGATGGTAAATCCCACCAAATGCTGCGTGGTCACCGCCGATCGTTCGGCGGGGAAGAACTAGGCAGAGGTTGTGGCGGTCCCAGAGCTCAAGGTGAAGCTCGGCCCTCCACATATACGCATTGCGCGCGCCACGTTCAAGTCGATGGTGGAGAACGACGAAGCCAAACAACTCCTGGAGCAGCACGGAGCCACCAACACGTTCTTCACCAGACAGACAGACAGACAGACAGACAAGCCATACGCCGGAGCGCGTGGGCGACGGTGAAAATTCGCCAGCCTCTTCTCACCGCTTTGCGGGGAAAGCGGCACGCCGACTCTCTAAAGTACCTCTTGCACTGCAGGGGGAAGAGGAGGAGGGAAAGACACAACATCAATGACAAATTGATGCCACGCTGCTGGTTCGCTGACACATTGCATCACTGGAGGATCAAGCTTTAGTGAGTCGGCACTTCCGTGCACGTCGATGCTACATCGAAAGGCTCCAGCGGGTCCAATTCAGAACTTCCGAGGGCTTCCAGATCGAGGGGACGGATCTCTCCAAGCTCCTGCCCGTGCAGGCGCTGATCAGGACAATGTTTGGCTTGGGGGGTCGCGTCAAGCTGGGCACGGCGCCAATCAGTCACCTCGAGCAGATGGCCCAGAAGCTGCTTGATCAGGCAATGGCGGCAGCAGCGGCAACAAGAGGAAAAAGCGAGTTGGGAGATCCGTCTGGCGGCGCTTCGTGACAGGATCAGAGATCGAGAACGGCAAACGTCTTACGCACGATTGGATCGGTAACCTTCGAACTCTACTCACTCCATGTCAATCCATTGTCCGCCGTTCTGGTCTCCATTACCTCGAAATTGTCAGAACGGGTGTTCTCAATCCCGTCAGAGTGGCGTCGCACAGTGCCTGCTTGGCCGTAGGCCCCGGACCCTGTGGTAACCACCTGACAGACTGGAGATGCGTCGCCTACGTATTGCTGAGTGGCGTTGGTTTGGAGCTGTTCTGCGATAGAAATGTACCCAACTTTGGAGAGGGTTTAACCCAGTAGGTGTTGTTCTCTGGCGTCGTTCTCTGGAGCTGCGGCTATACTTCCTGATATCGCTTGTCCTCTGTTTCTGACCATGGGTGCGCCATTCCAGTTACGAGAGTGGGAGCTGGTCTCCTCGTGTACTGCCATGTCCTTCTGAAGGGCAGGTGCTGCTTCGAGAACAGGCCCTGAACCTGATCCAGATGGCTCATTACGCCGTCCGCGCTGCCTCCTCCCCGCCTGCCTCCCCCTCCCCCATCCTCAAAACAGCCTGGTCCGAATTAGAGTCATCGGGTGCCCCAGGGGTCGGCCTTCGGCGGTGGACAAACCTCCCTTCAATAAACCACCCTTTAGTGAAAACAGCCTGGGACCGAAACAGACGGACCTGGACCCGCAAAAATGACGGCCGCGACGCCCTCTCGCGAACCGAAAACGGCCAATTCGCTAATCGACGTGACAGAGTAGGAGGTCTGTCCACCCCCGAGGCCTGGTGTACACAACACCGCAGGTGTTTGGCCCCTGCGGGGCCCGCGGGGAATCACCCCCTGCCCGTGTGCGCGTGTCCTTTGCGACCCGTCTCCGAACCTCGTCCGAGCTCGGGGCTGTACGGTGCGCTTTCTACCCTGACCTCGAGCGTGCTTTTCGGTCGTTCGATCTGTCGAGGTAGCTTCATGTCCTGGTATTGTACGAGGTAGTCTCGCAGCAAGCTGGTGAGCAGAGCAGATCAACGCCGTGTCTTCCTCCCTTCCTTCGTCCTCCTCCTCCTCCTTCCCTCGACTCCTCCTCCTGCTGCTCCTCTCCCATCCCTCGCACCCTGTGAACCTACGACCCCCGACCCCCCCTGAATCCCCTGAGCGCACCTCCTGCGCATCCTTTTCCCTCGAGGAGCAGGGAGGCTTTGGGAGGCTGCGGGGATCGAAATATGCCATATGAGATGGCAGGACCTGAAGGGGCCCTGGGACACACACACACACATAAATACACACAAACAGAAGGATTCCCAAAATTTTCATATATATATATATATATATATATATATATATATATATATACATATGTATATATATGTATGTACTGGGTTCTTGTCTTCCCCCCCACTTCTCATATTTTCCCATGTTTCCTTGGGGATCGACGATTCATTGTGACTGTGTTTTTTCCCTCCCGAGGACTCAAAAGGCCATGGGGGGGCGGGGGGGCTGCAGGGAAATGCAGGGGAGAAGGGGCCGAGGGACGAAGCGGGAGGCCGAGCGGCAACCATGGCAGCAGCATCATCTGCAGGGGGGCGGCGCACGGTGGCGGCCGAGGGATGACTCTAGGGAGAGCAGCGCAGTTCAGTCCAGTTCAGTCCTCAAGCCCTTCCATCTCGTTCGGGGAAGGCGGCTTGGGATCGTCTTGCCGTCGCGCGCGACACCCTGCCATGTATTCTGCACTGTGGCCACGGGATCCTCTTCATCGTCCAAGAGCTGCACACCACGACTGCTGCCACTGCCGGGCGAGCAACAGCAGCTCAGGCCTGGAACGCTCCAGCGCAGCGGCAGGGGCAGCAGCAGCAGGAGCAGAGGGCGGCGGCGGCGGCGGCGGCGGAGACCTGCCCCAGGGAGATGAGCATGAAGAGGGGGATGACCTGGGCGGGCGCTAACTATACACTGACGCCAGGGCGAGGATGACATATTCGGGTGAGGACACATCGAGAATCTCTGAGATCCCGCGGCTCTGGAGGATGTCTCGGGCTCCGCGGCCTTCTCAGAGCGTCCCAGAACGCTCTGAGAGCGCCCCAGAGCGCTCTGGAACGGATTGATCCTCGTCCTAGCCCCGTCCAACTATACACTGGCGCCAACCCTGGCCAGTGCAATCCTGGGCCCAGCACCTGCGTGCACGCCTTGGAGCAAGAGGGTGTATCCACCGACCCAGGGCCCGGGATCGGCCCCGCCAGGACTGGCCACCTGGCCTCATGACTTGATGCCGACTCCCGAGGACTGGCTTGGTGAGGATCAGCAGCAGGTCGAACTGCACGGCGTCCGCGGCCTCCTGGCGAGCCTTCAAGGGCTCCTGGTGGCACCACCGGACCACGGAGAACGCGCCCTCTGGCATGGGCCCGGCGCCGTGGTTGACGGGCTTCCCACCGCCCGCCGGGGAGGCCTGGTACTGGCCCGAGATGAGGTCCTGAACCGGGAAGCACAAACACTATCTATGACACACCGCTGTGGGGCAGCCATCAGCGTGCTAGTGCTGGGGAAATGCCAGGCCCTGGGAACAAAAGGAAGGAGCAACAAGCAGACGGGCTCTCGACGGGGGCGTATCATTGGTACTCACATCTGGGGAAAACAAAAGGCACCGATACCGCTACTCCCCTGACCTCTCCCTGGGTGCGTTCTGACCCTTACACGCAGTCGCTGTCGTCACCTTTCCTCCTCCGACTCCCATCCTCCCTGCCGGCAAAGCCTCCGTCGGGCGCGGCCTGACCGACCCCCCCTCCACTTCCATGACGTCGCCCTCGCCTTTCGAGCGCCCCTCCGGCAGCAGACATGCGCCCTGGGGCTGAGGGGGTCGTCACCGGGCCTGGACCCCCGACGTTGGGACTCTTTCACGACGTCGACCCCCAGAGGTCTGGACCCCTTCCCCAGGACCGGGTTTTCATCCTGGATCGCTGGTTGGCGGCCCCGAGGCCCAGCAAAGGGCTCCCAGAGGCCAAAGCTAGCGAAAAACCTCCCGTCGTGATTGTGTTCACAGCGCGAGGGGGTCTGGGGAAAGATGAAGGGGCCCTGGGGCACACAAATAAATGGACACAAATAAAAGGATTCCCTATATGTTCTTATAGTTTCGGGGTTTTAGTCTTCCCCCCACTTCCCATATTTTCGCATACTTTCCTTGGAATCGACGATGAATTGTGTCAATGTGCTTTTTTCCATCCTGGAAAAGGGATCGTTTCACGACAAAATTGCTACATCGCTAAGCAACGACCGGAGCCCCAGCGCCCATCTGTCTGAGACACTTTCCGAGCTGGCTCGATCTGTATAAGGGCCCCAGGGCCCGGAACGGGGCGACAACGTCCGCTGTGGACAAGTCGCCACATGCCAAGACCTCGGGGGGGGGGGGGGGCATTTTCCCACCTCCTCACTGCATCCTCCTCGTCCCTCCTCCTCCTCGTCCTCCTCCCCCTCCTCCCCCTCGCCCTCCTCCTCCTCCTTCTCCTCCTCCTCCTCCTCCTCCTCCTGCGCCTCCTCCTCCTCCTCCTCCTCCTCCTCCTCCTCCTCCTCCTCGTGGGAGGGCTTGCCAGGGGTCGCTTACACAGGCCAACTCCCGACTCCGGCGCCCTGGACAAGACCACGACGGCCTGGCCGTCCACGCCGCGCCGGCACCCTCTCCCCGTCGCTCGGACGCCCCTTCCCTGTGCCTCTTGTCGGCTTCGTGCGTGGCTTTTTCGCAGGATGCTCCAGGATGCTCCTTAAGAGTCCCCGCCGAGAAAAGAGTGCACACGCATGGATGCTCCAGGATGCTCCTTTAAGAATCCGCTGCAACGATCGGGTCGATGCATTCACCCCTACGCCTACCCCCCCCTATCGCTGCCCCTGCAACGTAAGCCTCGGTTCCTGCAGATGTGGACGCCCGAAATGGGTACGGAAAGAATGGGTACAATGCCCAACAACAAATGTTGTCCCAAACCAGCAGCGGCCGCTGTTGGGCGGGCGGCCTTCTGTCTCGACTGGACGCAGGCCGCGGCGGCGCCGACAGCGAGTCCTGTTCAAAGTGAACAGGAACTGCTGTTGGGCATCGTACCCATTCTTTCCGTACCCATTTCGGGCGTCCAAGCTTAAGAGTCCCCGCCGAGAAAAGAATGCACACGTCCGAGCGATGCCGGCCCCAAGCCCCCGGGTCTCAGCTGCGTGCCTCTCCTGCCCCGCCCAGGGCGCGGCCCGGGGCAACAAAGAGGCACGCAGGGCCGAGCCTCGGCTGCTATCCTTCCGGCCCCCGCGGCGCGAGAGGCGGCGACGACGACGGCGAGGCCAGGGCGATACGCCGAAAATCTCGGCGATCCCGCGGCTCGGGAGGCTGTCTCGGGCGCCGCGGCCTTCTCCGAGCGTTCTAGAACGCTTCCCGGAGCGCTTTGGAAGGGATTCCTCCTCGCCCGGGCTCTGGCTTCGAGCCTTAACTGCCCCCGTGGCGCGAGGAGGCGGCCACGACGCCGCAGGCCGGACGCCGCAGGCCGGACTCCATGCATTCTTGCTTCTTAGATCGGGAGGCGGCCCTGAGAGGTCCTGGCGGCGCCCTCTTTTCACCACGGGCGTCCTCTTGCCCCGTCTCGGGCCCCAGGAGCCTCACAAATCGATCTGGCTCGAAGAACGATCGGGAATCCATTGACCCAAGTCAATACAGACCTAGATCAGTCAGGCGTTGCAGGATCCTGCAAGACACTCCTGCAAGACAAACCCGGGTCAGTGCCCCTTGCCCTGCAGGATCCTGCAAGATCTGGCGACCTGGCTGACCCCCGTTTGCATTGACTCGGGCCGGGCGAAAGGGGGGGATAGCAAAGGGGGGGGGTCAGAATCAGCTCACGTAGCTGATTTTCCCAGCGCCTCCCGGCGCCGGGAGGCGCCCATGTATCGAGGAATGAGCCTGGCAGCGGGGCCGGAACCAGCTGCATGCAGCAGATTTCGTAGCCCCCCCTTTCCCTATCCCCCCCCTGTCGTTCGGCCCGATTGACCCTCGTCTCGTGAGCCCCGAAACAATGCAGAGCATGACGAGCGAACGACACGCGCACACCCATACCCGTGGGGGGAGCGGCCGAGGCTGAGGGTGCGTGCTGCCGCGGATGGCGGTCCCCCGCTCCAGCGGGAGCCTCCCCAGGGGTCCCGCAACCCGCACCCATACCCATAGCCAGTCTTGTGGATGACACGACAATGAACATCCGAACAGCCCCATCATTACATTTAAAATGTGTTTAAAATGTCGGAGAAATGTTCGGAACATGTTTGAAATTTTGGTTTCACATGTTTGAAACATTGCTTTGACATCTGGACATGATGTGGCAGCACGCTTCCTCTCCATTGATCGACTTCCACAAAGCCAGTCCTCCTCCCTCCGGCCTCCCTATGGGTATGGGTGCGTGTCGCCCGCTCGTCAGCACGACGGGCTCCATGGGCTCCCGTCGTGAGCTCTTGCGAGGTGCTGCAGCCTGCGAAGGGCGCCAGATCTCGGGGGAGGCGCACGCCGAGATGGGGAGGCAAGCCAGACGCCGAGGCACGAGGCGGGAGGCCCGGCGTCCTTGTTGCGCTGGTCCCTCTGCTCGTCGGTCTCCTGCGCACGGCTCGAGCTAGGCAGTTGTTTGCTCGTGCTCGCTTCGGTTTTACGGTTCCCCTCGCTCCGTCTTCGCTCCGCCCGCCTGCTGCGGAACGCGAGAGATCCACTCGGAAGCGGCCCGCGAGAGCGCCAAAGCACCGTTCACCTCGGGCTCCTCCTCCTCCTCCTCCTCCTCCTCCTCCTCCTCCTCCTCCTCCTCCTCCTCCTCCTCCCCCTTCTCCTCCTCCCCCTCCCCCTCCTCCTCCTCCTCCTCCTCCCCCGCCCCCGACGCGACCCAGGTCGCCCAACCTCGCGCCCTCGCGCCCACCCGGCATGGGGCAGCTCTCCCGCCCACGCCGCGATGCGCGAGGTGCGACTATCGTCGCGCCCCCCCTGGGGGTGACGGTGCACCCTCGGGAGACCTCTCCCGTCCTGCGAGTGGCAGTCCTTCCTTGCACTCCGTCGTGGGCTCGACGCGGGTCCGGCGCACATCAGATGCGGATTCGGCATGGATGCGACACGGATTCGACGTGCTCGACACGGGCAGGAGGAGGAGGAGGAGGAGGAGGAGGAGGAGGAGGAGGGGGAGGGAGGAGGAGGAGGGAGGAGGGAGGAGGGAGGAGGGAGGAGGGAGGAGGGAGGACGACACAGATTCGACGAGGACCGCGACGCGACGGGACAGCCGAGGCCCCCCGAAGATGTAAAACTCAGCTGGGGGTGACCGGGGCGACGCGCGCGCGAGCCCGGAGGGCGCTGCGGGCTGTCTCGGAGAGGATTCCTGGCCGTCGGGCGGGGGGATTCCCCGAGGCGGCCCTTGCCGTCGCTCGGACGTCCATTTCCCGAGGATTTGTCGGTTTCGCGCGTGTTTTGTCTGCTCGATGGTCCAGGATGGTCCTCGATGGTTCTCGCCGAGAAAAAAAGTGCACACGTCCGAGCGATGCCAAGCGACCAGGCAGCCTCCTAGCCTCCAGGGGAGGGGGAGGAGGACGAGGCGGGGAAGGCCCGCTCCTGTCCTTGCTCCTCCCCCTCCTCCTTGCGCACCGTGCTGTGCACTACTCGGGATCTGCACACCATGGATGGGTAAGTAGATAAGGAGGGGATGGAGGGAGGGAGGGAGGGAGGGAGGGAGCGAGGGGGAGAGATAAGGGCTGAAATCCTCGTCGACCCTGGGTCGCTATCCAAGAGCAAAAAAACTCGGCCTGATATCATTCGATGATACACCTCAATTCATCATATAGTGGTGGGGGTGTCGGTCACCCGCCCCCAGAATGAGTATCATTCCAAAATGAAGCCCGAAATTCACCAGTTCAGGAGAATCAACCTTGGCTGATGTTCTCCCTGGGAGGCGCCTGGGTTGGGGGGATTTAGTAAAAGTCAACCAATCCCCCCGGCTCGATGATCACCATTCTGGAATCATAAACCCCAGCGTATAATGTCCCGAGAATAACTAACCAGGGCTTATATTCGAACGTGATGATTATCATGGTGGAGGCGGGGAACTAATCATCATTATCAGTCCAACATAGTAAGCCGAAGATCTTTGTCATGGGGGTTCCAGAACCAGGGGGGCAAACCTGATAAGCCAAGGCTTATAATGTTCCAACATGATGAACCTCAACTGATATTCGTGGAGCATGATAAACCCAGGATTAAAATGTTCTGGAGGTAACATGATGAGTCTCAGTGAATATACCAGGGACATTATAAAACTAGGTTGGTATCTATTTGAGGTCCATCCTGGAGCGGGACGAGGGAAGGGGAAGCGGGGTGGTTTAGGCACCGTCCCCCACCGCGTGCTGTGTCCTTCCAGGCACCACGTTGGGGACGGGTGCCTCCAACCTCGCTTCTCTTCTCTCCTATTTTCTCTCTCTCTCTCTCTCTCTCGGGGGGAGGATGGGGGAGGGAGGGAGGGAGAAAGGAGGAGGAGGAGGAGGGAGGTAGGGGGGAAGGAAGGAGGAACGATCCCCCAACGGCCCCCTGCGACTGCATTGGAGGGGTGCAAGGAGGAGAAGAGGCACGGCGAACTCAAACCGCGTACGTCGGCGTTGGTTTCTGACACCGCGTGGATCGTTCCACTCAGAGCTATGTCGGGCGTGTCCCCCTACAGGTGGGTTTTCGACGAAAAATTAAAAATACCCGAAAAATGCCCCAGAAAGGCCAAAGAATACTCCAAAAATAGTCCCCAGACTATTTTTGGAGTATTTTTTTACTATGTTTGGGGTACTTTTTGTTTTTCGTCGAGAATCCCCCTGTAGGGGGACAGGCCCGATTTCCACTTAGAGCGACATCGGCCTCACGACTGCGCAGATCCGTCGATGTGGCAAACTCTGGGCCACCTGCCATGGTCCGCCTGGAACGTCCGCGCCAGGGTCGACACCGCGCCCACGCGGCGCGAGCCTGCCGACATCGGGAGGACTCCTCGAGACTGCGCCACTCGCCATCGCTCGGACGTCAAATTCCTCGTGTATCTTCCGATGTCGTGCGTGTTTTTTGCTTCGCCAAAGGATCAAGGATGGTCCTCGATGGCCGTCGTCGAGGACAAAATGCACACGTCCGAGCGATACCAAGGCCAGTGCATTCACAGGCGGCCGTACGACGACTGCCGCGCGGGCAGTCAGGGAACCCCAAGGGAGGGTACCGGGTACCACGCCCTCCTGTGGGCAGGAGGGGCTGACCAGCACCGCCGCCCAAAGGTGGGCAGGGGCTTGCCGCACTGTGGTGTGCCGCGCAGGCTCCCCACAGCAAGTGCCCACACACATACTCCAGATTTCGTAATAAAAGGGAGGGGGTCTGGACCCTCCAAGACAAGCCATTTCAGACCTCCCCCGTGGGAGAACCCTCCAAAACATCGTCCCCAGACCCCCCAGGCCCTCCAGGATAGCCTGGAAGAGACCCCCCCCGAAATGAGACCCCCCCTCCCTTTATTACGAAATCTGGAGTACGTACACAACGCAAGCACTGACAACTGAGACGAAGCCGAGAGGAGGAGCCAACCACGGAGAGGATCATCCGACAACTGGAACACCTCTGAGATCCGGCGCCTCTGGAGGGTGCCTCGGGCGCCGCGGCCTCTCAGAGCGCTCCGATCGCTCCGAGGGCGTCCTGGCGCTCTGGAACGGACTCGTCCTCGTCCGAGCCCCGCCCGAACAGCCCCCGTCGCCCCCGGCCCCTCCGGGTGGGGGCTAGAGGCCTCCGAGATGGGGTCGGAGTAGATGGGGTCGGAGGATCGCGCTGCATCGCCGATGCATCGCCGATGCACTGGCGAGGCATCGTCGACATCGGCGATGCATCGGCGACGCCATCGTGGAGAAAATCGGGCTCCACACCGAGCCGCATCGGCGATGCATCGGCGATGCGGCGCGATCCTCCGACCCCATCTACTCGGACCCCATCTAGTCGGGAGCGGCCAAGAGGGGGATGTCCAAGAGGGGGGGTGCAAATCATGACCGGCGGCATGTGCGCGGCCCAGCGGGGGGGCCAGGGACGTAATGAAATAAGAAGGGGCGCCATGAAATCTGAAGAAATATCATGGCCCCCGCCATGATATCCACCCCCCCCTAGTCATCACCCCCCTCTTTTCCGTCCCCGATCTGGGAGCCCTAGAGGTGGTGGTGGGAGTCCTCCCTCCGGTCCTTCTTCTTCCTCTGCCGCAGGTTGCGCTGGGGCAGGTCGTCCCGAGCCTGTCGGGCGGCCAGGGCCCTGGCGGCCTCCGCGCCGCACGCGTCGGCCGCCTCGGCGGGGCGCGGGGCCCCACCGGCTCCTTCGGCCGGCGGCTCGCGGTGGATCGCGTCTTCGGCTGAGTCTTGTCCGCCTACGCCAGGCATGAACTCGGCGAGGAAGACGCACAAACGAACCAGAGGCAGGCTGACGAAGTTCACGACCGTCGGCAGGGGGCCGATGACCACGGTCGTGAGCAGGCCGAGGAGGAACCGCAGGATGCCCATTCGCCACAGATACGCAAAAAACTGCTTGATGAGTCCGAACATGAACACCATCCATAACACATTCAGCAAAGTGTGGATGATCGGGGTTCGCTAAAAAAGGTATCCCTGGCCCAGGGTGCCCCCCAGCTTTTCGCTCCATCTGGGAGCCGCTGGTCACCAGCCTGGAACATATCCCTATCCCTGTGCTGGGCACCTCCTCATCAAGGATGCCAATCTTAGGGATTTCCTTTTATTTTTTGAGGGCGGATCCCTGAGATTGTCATCGCCTCTTGGCGTGTCAATCTTAGGGATAGGGATGCGTTCGAGGCTGGTGAACTGGGGCCCTCTGGCCCTCTCGAGGGCTGCCCTGGAGGCCGCTTGAGGCCTCCCTGGGAATCCGAGGGGCACCTCGGGCCAGGGGCACCCCTTGTGAAGGGGAACTGGAACACACAAATAAATAGACACAAATAACCAGACTCCCCATATGTTCCCATATGTTCTGGGTTTTTGGTCTTCCCCCCCCTACTTCCCATGTTTTCCCATATCTTCGGGGGAATCGACGATGAATTGTGTCTGTGTGTTGTTTCCCCTCCTGACTCTAGCTACCCCCGAGATTATGCCGGCCTCAAACGAGATCACGGCCCAAACTAATCCAGTGGCGAGCTCCAGGTAGTCCGCGACGCCGAGCTCACCAAGGACCCTCCCGGCCTGCCCCAGGAGCCCCAGCACGGCCATCTCGAGCTCACCCTCGTAGCACTGGACGCTCTGCTCACCTCAGGGCCCGAGCCAAAGAGTGTGTTTCGTTTTCGATTGGTTTTCGTGCTCCTTCGTTCTGTCTTCGTTCTGCATTCGCTGCGAAATGCAATCAAAACAAAAAAAACGGTCGACGAAATCGCCCAAACACTGTTTATCTCGAGCCCTGGCTCACCTTTCCTGCTCTTCAGCACCTTGGTGAGCTGATCCTTGGCAGCCGATGCCCTGTTGAAAATGATCTCGCCACGGCGAGACTCTGCACGAGTCGGATCTCGCTTCAGCCTGCCCCTAAGACGGTCGGGGTGCGTGCACATCGACAAGCTCCGAAACGCTCTCTTTATGTCAGACGAGGTTACTGGACTCTGTGTGCCAAGCACAGCGCAGGGCGACTCGTTGTAGACGAGCTGCAGCTTGGTGAGGAGGAACATCCCCAGGAAGAAGCAAACGAACCATGGCACGGGCCGCCACCGAAAATAGTCGGAGATGCTTCTCTTCGGATGCCGGCAGGGCTGGCAGGTCTCTCGAGCGAGGTGTCTCTCCCCCGTCTGGTCCCCCCAGTGGAAGAACAAACGTCATGAGCATGTCCGCGCAGATTTCTTGGATCGGCGCTGCGAAGAAATCATGTGTCTGCCGTGTTTCCTGCTTCGATGCTCGTGCTCCTCCCAATCCTCGGCCACCCCTCCTGAGCATCGTCGTTCAACCGACCCCTCTCCCCATGGGCGTGGCGTGGGTCCCACTGGCCGACTACCCCCCTGGGATGGGGACATAGGCAGCCTGCTGCTCGTCTCCCGCCGCACGGCGGCATGGCCCAGCCGTGAGGTCAGGGTTACAGAAAGAGGCCACGTCGCGGAACATCACGACCAGGGCCCCGGACCCCGACGCCCTGCCTCACCTCTCGAGCCGGACCGAGCCGTGCAGGGCCCCGGGCCCGAGGGGGCGAACACGCCCGCTGTGAGAAAGGGCAGCGCCAGGACCTCAGGGGCGGGGGGACCGTCTCCAGCGCCTCGGCCGCGTGCGGAGAATGCGGGCGTAGTTGAAGGGGCCCCACAAACACACAAATAGATACACACAAACAAAAATGTCTCCCGCAATTTCCTTATATTTTCTGGGTTTTTGTCTTCCCCCCCACTTCCCATATTTTCCCATGTTTTCCTGGGAATCGACGATTGATTGTGTCTGTGTGATTTTTCCCCTCCTGAGTAGTGAGATCTGCCAGATGCTCCGAGCTGGGCTCCAGTGCCCCCAGGGGCGGCTCGGAGCAGACGGCGCGCCCCTAAGATCCACGCGCGAGCGCTGGCCCTCACCCGCAGGGCACCTCCTCGTCCTCGGCCTCCTCTTACCGTCTCCTCCTCCTCCTCCTCCTCCTCCTCCTCCTCCTCCTCCTCCTCCTCCTCCTCACGCTCCTCTCCGCCGCTGGCACGCGGACAGGGCTTGCCAGGACCACGCCTCGCTATCCCGAGACCTCCCGGCCCCGCGCTGGCTCTGCAGCGGCACCGCGGTCTGCTCCTGCCAGGGGGGGGCGGGGGAGCCCTGCAGCGCAAGGCATCGGCGCTGACGCTGCGGGCACGGGGCGGGGTCCAAAGGAGTGTCAACAGGGCTGAACCTAAACGGTGTTTTTCGCTTTCGTGTTGTTTTCGTTTTTTTTCGTTTTGTCTTCCATCCGCCTTTGCCGCAAAACGAGGCCGAAACGAAAACGGCCCACGAAATCGCAACAGCGTTGAGCTCCAGCCCTGAGGTTCAGTGCCGTCCGGTATGCGCGAAGGTGCGACGCGCGGAGGCCGTGCGGAAGCGCGCCACAGAAGGGGAGCGGGAGCCCGAACAGGGGAGGGCGCAGGGAAGCAGGAGGCACGGCGGCAGACGTGTGGCGGGCGCCACTGCGGTTGCACACCGGCCGATGCAAGGGGAGTAGCAGCCCGACCACGGCGACGCCCTCGCCTCCCCGTCGCTCGGACGTCCACTCCTCGTGGCTTGTTCGGTCTCGTGCGTGTGTGTTTTTCGCAGGGTGATCCAGGAGGCTCCTTCATCATCCCCGCCGAGAACCAGTGCACACGTCCGAGCGATGCCAAGTCGCTTCGCACTCACCTCGGCGGTGGACAAACCTCCCTTTAGTAAACCTCTCCTTAGTGAAAACGGCCTGGGACCGAAACCGACGGGCATGGACCCGCAAAAACGACGGCCGCGGCGCCCCCTCGCGAACCGAAAACGGCCAATTCCTCAATCGACGTGTCAGGGTAGGAGGTCTGCCCACCCCCGATCACCGCCAGAAGCGAGGGCGAGGGGTGGGGGCGCAAGGCCCTCGGCCGCCCCCTCGAGCCCCCAGGGGTCGTCCACGGGGTCCCCCAGGGACTCGACCCAGCAGGAGGAGGAGGAGGAGGAGGAGGAGGAGGAGTGGGAGGAGGAGGAGGAGGAGGAGGAGGAGGAGGAGGAGGAGGAGGAGGAGGAGGAGGAGGAGGGAGGAGGGAGGGGAGGGGGAGGAGGAGGGGAGGAGGAGGGAGGAGGAGGAGGAGGAGGAGGAGGAGGAGGAGGATGAAGAGAGGGAGGAGGAGGAGGCCGAGAGGTCGGGGCCGCCAGGGCGCCCCCGCCTCTGGGCCGCCCCGCTTCGCGCGTCGCGCCCCGCGGCGCGCCACGCGCGACGGCGACCATCGCACGGGTGTCGCTGAAGGGGCCCAAGGACACACAGACAAATACACACAAATAAAAATGTTCCCCGTGTTCTCCCATATGTTTCGGATCTTCGCCTTCCCCCCCACCACACACTTCCCATAGTTTCCTAATTGCTGGGGACACGACGATTGATTGTGTCTGTGTGTTTCTTTCCCTCCCGAGCCATAGCCGCGCGACTCTGGCACAGTCAGCCCGCACAAGAAGGATGCGCGATACGAATTCGAGGGCTCTGGAGGACCATGCCGACATTTTGCCAGCGGGTCGCGGCCAGCGAAAGCGGCTCGAGATGGACTGAAAGGGAATGGTGCAAGGGCATCCTTGGAAAGCTGCTCATCCTTACCATGTGGGTTGACTTTAGGAGGTGAGTAGACGGTGGGAGCATAGGCGGGGAGAGCGCATTTTGATACGCTTGAGGGTAGGTGTTGGGGGCAGGATGACGACCCTGGTCCTTGAGATATGGCCGGCCACGGGGCAATGACTACTGTCGTGAGCAAGCCGGGTACAAATCGAACAGGAAAAATCTCAATGCGCCATAAGTATGCGAAAGTCGCTCATCCTTGGGCGTGGGTAACCTTGGAAATTCGCTCATCCTTTTGACTGCAACACCTCCCCCAGGGCTGAACCCAAACGGTGTTCTTCCTTTTCGTGTTGTCTTCGGTGTCCCTCGCCTGTGTCTCGAATCCGCCTCCACCGCAAAAACGAAGCCGAAACGGAAACGGCCCACGAAGTCCCCAAAAACACCGTTTGGGTCCAGCCTCCTCCTCCTCCTCCTCCTCCTCCTCCCTCCTCCTCCTCCTCCTCCTCCTCCTCCTCCTCCTCCTCCTCCCCCTTCCTCCCCCTCCTCCCCCTCCTCCCCCCTCCTCCTCCTCCTCCTCCTCCTCCTCCTCCCTCAATCCTCCTCCTCCTCCTCCTCCTCCTCCTCCTCCTCCTCCTCCTCCTCCCCTCCTCCTCCTCCTCCTCCTCCTCCCTCCTCCTTCTCCTCCCTCCTCCTCCTACTCCTCCTCCTCCTCCTCCTCCTCCTCCTCCTGACCTCCCCTGGCAGCGGGCCGTTTCGTGACCGGGGCAGCCATGGGGGGCCTCGGCCCCTCCCCGAGGCCTGCGCTCCCGCCCCGAGCAGCCCTGGGCGGCCCCGCGCGGCCGGGGAAGGGGCCTATTCCGAGAGCCAGCGGCGTCGGGGCAGGAGCGCCGCCACGCCTCCTCCTCCTCCTCCTCCTACCTCCTCTCCTCCTTCCTCCTCCTCCTCCTCCTCCCTTGCCTCCCTCCTCCTCCTCCTCACTCCTCCTCCTCCTCCTCCTCCGCCTCCTCCTCCTCCTCCTCCCTCCGCTCCTCCTCCCCCTCCTCCCCCTCCTCCCCCGCTATCCCCCCCTAGCCTCCTCCCTCCTCCTCCTCCTCCTCCTCCTCCCGCCTCCTCCTCCCCTCCTACCTCCTCCCCTCCTCCTCCCCCCCCTCCTTCTCCTCCTCCTCCTCCTCCTCCTACCCTCGCTCCTCCTCCTCCTCCTTCTCCTCCTACCTCCTCCGCCGCCTCCTCCTGACACTCCCCTGGCAGCGGGCCGTTTCGTGACCGGGGCAGCCTCGGGGGCCTTCGCCCCTCCCCGAGGCCAGTCGCTCCCGCCCCGAGCAGCCCTGGGCGGCCCCGCCGGCCGGGTAAGGGCCCTCCCGAGGCCAGGCGCGTCGGGGCAGGAGCGGCCGCCACGGCCTCCCTCCTCCCTCCTCCTCCTCCCCTCCTCCTCCTCCTCCTCCTCCTCCCGTTGCTCCTCCTCCTCCTCCTCCTGCTCCCTCCTCCTCCTCTCCTCCTCCTCCTCGCCGCCTCCTCCTCCTCCACCTCCTCCATCCCCTCCTCCTCCTCCTCCTGACCTCCTCCCCTCCTCCTCCTCCTCCTCCTCCTCCGCCTCCCCTCCTCCTCCTCCCCTCTCCTCCTTCCTCGCTACTCCTCCTTCCCTCCTCCTCCTCCTCCTCCTCCTCCTCCTCCTCCTCCTCCTCCTCCTCCTCCTCCTCCTCCACCTCCTCCTCCTCCTACCTCCCTCCTCCTCCTCCCTCTCTCCTCCTCCACCTCTCCCTACCTCCGTCCATCCTCCTCCTCCTCCTCCTCCTCCTCCTCCTCCTCCTCCTCCTCCTCCTCCTCCTCCCTCCTTGCCTCCTCCCTTGCCTCCTCCTCTGCTGCGGCGGCCAGCAGGGCTGCACCCAAGCGGTGTTTTTTTGTCGCGTGCTCCTTTCGTCTCGCTTGCCCTCGTTTGTGTTCAGTCCACCTCCACCGCAAAAGCGAAGTCGGAACGAACACGGCCCACGAGATGGCCAGAACACCGCTCAGGTCCAGCCCTGGCGCCCAGACCAAGAGGGATCGCTCAGCCCCCATCCGAGGGGCAACGGTCGGGGCGGGGGGGGCAGCTCAGGGGAGGAAACGTCGCACTTGAATCGGCGATACATCGCCGATAGCTCGGCCATAGGCCCCCGATATCGAATGCGCATGTTCCTGGGCGGAACGGGCTTTCGGGCACCTGTCGGCAATGAAAAGGAGTTTGAGGGGTCAATGCACCCCCCTCCCCAACCCTTCCCCCCCCTGCAGCCATCGTGCTACTATAAGGAACGCTGAATAAGGAACGAAAGGGCTTTTCTGGCCACGGCGAGCCTCGGCTTCGAATGGGTTCCCCTGTCTAGACCGAAAGAACGGCCCGAAAACCAGAGCCACTCGTGCGCCCAAAGGGTCCTAATTTCAGCGTCTTGAACGCATCGTTGCCCCTGACCACCTCGGAACACGCGAATCTTAGAGGCGAGCCGGGGGTCTGAACTGGTTGGAACCCAGAAAATCGGTCAGGAGGGGTCCGCTCAAAATTTGTCCCCGGAATTCGCTCAAAATTGATCCCCAGAACATTCCCAGGGTCCAACAGGCGCGCTTTTTCACCCCAGATCCGTTTTTCAATGTCCCAGAGCCCGAGCACGGCCCCTGGAGGCCGCAGAAATGCACAACGCATGCCCGAACCTGCCCGCCCTTCCTGCTGGCCGAACCACGGCTGGGCCACCTCCCACCCCCGGACGGCTCCAACCCGAACCTCCCCCCAGGAGCTCCTCGCTCGATGCCGCCGCGCCCGCGGGGCGGCCCGCCGCGCCAGAGGACATGGCGGCCGCCGACGCCGTGGCCATCCCCGAGCCGCCGGCTGGCCAGCCTGCCCGCCTCAGGACCCAGGCATGCGCCGCCCCCCGCTCAGATCGGCTGCACGCAGGAGTGGCGCTGCAGCTCTTCACACCGGGCGTTCCGGCCGTGATGTTCTTCGACGTTGCAGTGTTTTTGCGTGACGTCAGTTCTCAGGGCTGAGCGAGGGTCAACCTTTGGCGCGCGGCCTGTAGAGGCCCGCGGGAGGGGGGGGGGCACCCCAACCCGAGCGCGCCAGCCGGTGCCGGCGGGACCCCTGCGGGCCCGCATTGAAGGCCACTGCGGCCGAAAGTGCTACTCCTGGGCGCAGCCGACCTGAGGACGCGCGGCCGCGCCCGCCGCCGGGATCCCAAACTGCTGCGTGCCGCAGGATGCCGAAGCGACGGCCACTCTGAGCCCCAGAGGGGCGCTGGGCTTCGGGCCGCGTTCCTTGGACCCAGATCGGGGAGCCTCGTCGTGGCCGAGGCTCGCCATGGCCAAGGCAGCCCCTCCGCTCCAGGCTCGGCGCTCCTCGTGGAGGCGCGCTGTGTCTGCAGCCCGGGCACGGGGAGCCAGAGGACCACGAGACTGTCCGGGATGCTTCGCGAGGCATCGTCTTCCACGGGAGCTCCGCTCCGCCTGGCAAGATCCCCCGCGAGCCCGAGAGCCATTGCCCCTCCTCCGACTCTCGAGGACCCCCCGCCCGCCTCCGCCGGAATCAGGACCCGTCGCCCCTTCTGGCAAGACCCCCACCCCAGTCCCCTGCATGCAGGAGCACCCCCCTTCCCCCCCGCGCGCTAGCAAACGACGATGACGACGGTAACGACGACGACGACGACGACGACGACGACGAGACGACGACGCGAGAGGGGCACCCGATGAGCCCTCCAACAAGGCGCTGAGAGGTCACCAACAACATGCAGAGCCCGATATGCTTCCATGTATGTTGCTTCCCTAAGTTTTCGGCACAAAGTGGCCTCAGGAAGGCTTCTGTGGGTCTCTGGACGGAGGCACCCGAAAAGCCCTCCTCGAGAACCCCTCTTGAGCACCCCAAGAGCGCCCCAAGAGCTCCTTAAGACGACTCGAATACCAACCAAATGGCTCCAAGACGGTTCAACCGAGTCTCTACGGGAAGGCTCGGTAGAACCGTCGTCCTCAAAATCCCAAAGACAACCACCCAACAGGCCCCCAACGGGCCCTCCAGAAGCCCCCCGAGGGGCTCCAAAATCGAAAAGATCCAAGAAAAGGCCCGCAAGAGGCACTGCAATAACAATGCAACGGAAGGGCCGTGGCGCCTCACAACTTCGTAGAGATGCGTCCCAACTGAATCTAGTTCTCCCGAACCTGCTTGGGAGATTTCGAGACCATCCTGCATGCATTTCGATGGTGAGAGTGGACAGTGTCGGGGCTTGCTACTGGCAGGCAGCTGGGTAATGCTTATACTTGCGCAGCAGCGACCCACCGGCAGGGCGGTGGTATACGAATTCTTGTCCTGCACCTTCCCAAAACACTCCTTCCCCTGCTCGGGGCAAGGCTTGACTCCTCCCCCATACCCCTTCCGTAGGCCTGGACGGGGTGGGCGAGGCGGTAGAGCGCGCAAGATGGCCCAAGTTGCCTACAAGACTGGCCAAGATGCTGCGAGTTGGACTCCAAAATGGCCCAACATCCTGTAAGAGTGCGGGGGATGGCCTCCGAGATACCTCGAAGAGGCCCCAGGGCAGCCCCAAAAACGGTTCCGAGCGCCCTTCGAGTTTTCAAGGAACCCCACGGGATGCCAAAACCCGTCGGAAGCCGTAGGAAATCAATGTGCCCCGCCTTCGGGCATTTGGGCATTCAGCTGGCCTCTGAGGTCCCAAGACGGCCCCAAGACGGACCAATGGAACTCCAGGAGGGGTCCGAAGTGGCACCAATGCAGCCTCAAGAGCACCCGAGAGGCGCTCAAGAGCGTTTCAAAAAGGCTCCGAAACGCAGTGGTTCGGCATCCGAAGGGGGGAGGGCCTGGATTGCCGCCACCCACGTGTTTTGAGCCGTGGTTTCCAATATTGATTGATTGGGCAGCTGATGTTGGCGACGCGCACAAGGGTTTAGCGGGAGGGGGGAGGCGTTAATTAGGAGGTTGCTCCTTCGAAAGCGATGGTTCTACATGTATGTGTAGATAAGGCCCACGCCGTCTAAGAAGTAGGGGTGATTCTAAGAAGCCCCCCCCCTCCCCGCTGACGGCAGCAGCTGTGGCTCTGCTACTGCAGCGAAGGACGCGTGACAGAGGCGGTCATTGCCCGAAAACGCCTCGGCCGCAGGAGCGGAGGAGTGGCCCCCAGCACGACGGCAGCAAAAGGCCCACCAGGCTTTCCCAAACAGAACCAATAGGGCCCCAAGCCCCCCAGAAAGCGTCCCAAATTGACCCCAAGCCCCACAGAAAGAGCCCCAAGACGCCGCACGGGGCCGCCAGCAGGCCGCACATCAACATATTCGCCAAGGTCGCCTCCTCATCCTCCTCGTCCTCGACTGTTGTTGCTCCCTTCCTTCCTGCGATCATATGACGATGGGTCGGCGGGGATTTGTGTAATATATCTATATATATATATACACCCAAAAAAAACAATATATACATATATAATACTTTTTTAGAACCAACAAAAAAAACGGCGAAGGAAAGTCGGGCGGCGTCTGGGGCACTGCAAGAAGCAACGGCCTAAATTAGCGCAAGGAGGGAGAAGGGCGAAAAAAAGGCAAGAACGAGCAGGAGAGAGAGAGAGAGAGAGAAACAGGAGGCGAGCATCACTGCCGTTCAGAGGAACGCGAGCGCCAAGGAAACGCCGTGCAACACCACGTGGTAATTCAAGAACCCAACCACGTCCCAGATGAACAAGACCGCCGGCAAAACGAACAGCACGCCGTGGACAATGCTGGGGAGGCGGACGCAGGACGGCGACCCCCGACACGGAGGAATGATTGGACATGCGGGCGCTCAACGGAGAGATCCGGATCGCCAGACACCGGGCGGTGTCGACGGGCAGCGGTGGAAGCGAGCCCCGTCCAAGCTGCAAGGCTTTGTGGACGCCCGAAATGGGTACGGAAAGAATGGGTACAATGCCCAACAGCAAATGCTGTCCCGAGCCAACAACGGCCGTTGTTGGGCAGGCGGCCTTCTGTCTCAAATGTACATAGGCCGCGGCGGCGCGGACAGCGAGCCCTGTTCAAAAGGAACTGCTGTTGGGCATTGTACCCATTCTTTCTGTACCCATTTCGGGCGCGCAGAGAGTGGTGTCGAGGGGCAGCGGTGGGAGCGAGTCCCGTCCAAGCTGCAAGGCGGGGGGGAAGGGCCGGGGGGCCGGGGTTGGGGAACGGCGGGGAGGCCGGAGAGGCAGGGGGGATCGGCAGACGCCCAGGAGCCGGGAGGCACGGCCCCAGGCAAGGGGCAGCGACGGGGAGGACCCAAGGTGTCCGTCGACCCCGGGCGGGAAAAGGGGGGGCAGGCGGCAGGCGGAACGCGCTGCTGGGGATACTTTTTGGTTGGCAGCCGCAGGCGAGGGCGCCGGCGGCGAGACAGGTCCGAGTGGGCCGCGCAAGAGCCGAATGGCCCAACGCCGACGGACCGGCGACCTCGGCAGCCCCTCGGCGGGCGGGCCGGCGTGAGGGGGAGGTGCAAGCTGCGGCTGCCAGGGACCAGGCGCTGATGGGGATACTTTTAAGTCAGCGGCCGCGGGCGAGCGCGCCGGCGGCGAGTCAGGTCAAAGCGGGCTACACAGAGACGAATTAAGCAAAGGCAGCGCAAACAGGCAACGACTAACGCAGCAAGCCGAGGCCTCACGCGGCGGCCCAGCGGCGGGCGGGTGGCAGGGGAGACTGAAACTGAGTCGAACTACCAGCGTGCAAGTATGCAGGGCGTCGGGCTGATGGGGATACGCGAAGCGCCAAGAATCTAAATTCAAAAATGACCTCTCGCTGCCGCGTCAGGCACCCCTACGAGCTGCACGGATGGATGGCGAATCCCTCCCAACAGCACGGTATTTGCGCATTCCGCCGTCGAAATGTCACATACCCTTGATGCGCTCTGCAGCACGGGTGCTCAACGCGTGAGCCCTGCCAGACAACAAACAGATGCCTCTCCCAACTTGCCAAGTCACCGCCGCCACCATACGTTCGTCGGCCTGCCCCTCACGCCGTCCTACTCATCAGCCCCCCCCCCCTCTCTCCTGCTCCCGCCTCTGACCCCCGCCCCACCTCAGGGTCGTGGCCCTGCCACGTGCCCACGGCGGGTCCACTGGCACCTCCTGCCTCTGCCCCCGGCTTCTTCCGCCCGGGGCACCGCAGGGCTCCCCCATCCCGCCTCTCGGGTGCGCCGAAGAGGGCGTGTGCCAGGGAGTGTAAGTACAACATGGCCCGAGGAATGGGCGCGGACGAGGCGGCGGGGGGGGCCAAGGAGTGCTCTGAAAGAAGATGAGAGGGGCTCCACCTCCACACCCCTCGTCCTCAACCCCCCCTCGGATCCCCCCGACAATTTTCGCCAACGCACACAGCGACTGGGTTCGCCTGGGCATTTGCGCTCCCGTCGCGTCGCGTCCAGCTCCACGGCGGTTCCGCCGCTCCGAGGGCAAGGGACCCCCCCTCCTCCTGGCCTCCACCTCCACGCCCCTCACGAGATCCTCCTCCTCCTCCTCCCCCTCCCCCTCATCAACCCACGTTCCCAGGGACGTACCAGACCCCTGTGACACGCTCGGAAAACATCAAATGGCACGAAAGGTGCTCGGAAACTCTGCGGAGAAGCGTCGCGCTGGGTGCAACCAAGAATGGTGACTGTTGCACACTTGGCAGCACCCAGTGAGGGAAACGTCTCACATGGTCCCGCGTGGATCATCACTCCGCGGGACCCTCCTGGGGCGCCGGAAACTGCCGACGTTCGCACGCCTCGCAACACCCAAAGAAGCGAGAGAGGAGAGAAAGCGAGAATATGAAAAATAATCATAAGAATCATAAACAGAACAAGAAGAGGAAGAAGAAAAAGAAGAGGACGAAGAAGTGGCCAAGAAGGCGGGAGACGTGGAGAGGGAGGAGACGAGAAGGAGACGAAGGAGGAGAGGTGAGCCACAAACGCTGTATCCAAAACGCCCAACCACAGCGGGAGGGTTGGAGAGACAACGGACAGGACCTGGCAGGACCAAGAGCAAAGAGACACAGAGGCTCCCACACATGCGCACTCGGGTCGTCTCTCCTCTATGCTGGCCCGGCGGGGATGCCGTTCCGCTCTTTTGCTCACTCTCCGCGGGCGAAGACGACGACAACAAGATCAAACTGCAAAATCCACAACGAGGAGGCCCACTTCAACCACGCACGCAGGGACAGTGCAAGACCGTTCGGCCCCCTCACTCTCAGATGAAAATCCCGAAGAGTCTAAGGAGGTACAGGTAGCATGGAGTGGACGTGGAGCAAACATATGTTGTATTCTGTGTTATAAAGTATTCCTGTTAAATCGTTCCTGCTCGTCCCTGTAACACCCCGATTGTTCCCAAACCTTCTGCTGGCCCACCATGTGGGAACAAAGAAAAAAGGCACCAGCACGGAGAAACGGCACCAACATGGGCCGCGGTTATCCGCTTCTCCGTGCTGGGCACAGGGAGGGATCCTCTTGGTGGTGTCGTGGCGGTGATCGTCGGCGTATTGCTGGAGCCATCTCCTGGCCATCGCCTGGACGTCCACTCCATGTGCTTTCTTCCGTTTCGTGCGTGGCTTTTTCGCCAAATGATCAAAGATGCTCCTCGATGGTCCTCGCCGAAGAAAAAATGCACACGTCCGAGCGATGCCAAGTCTCCAGTCAACCGCGCTCGAGAGGCCTCGTGGACCTTCTCACCAAAGGTGGCCCCGATGATGATGGTGCGCTCCCGGGACTGGAGCTGGATAGGGGCAGATCCGGATGCGGGTAAATCGGACATCACTGAAGTGACCCTGGGACACACACATAAATACACACAAATAACAGGATTCCCCAAATTTCCCCATATTTCCTGGGTCCCTGTCTTCCTCCCCCCTTCCCATATCTTCCCATGTTTTCTGAGGGATCGACGATGAATTGTCTGTTTTTTTTTTTCCTCCTGGGAATCGGACGTCACTGATGGCCGGCGGGTCCGGAGGCTGTATATCGGGCGCCGCGGCCGCTCCCACACTCTGGGTCGCAGCGAGCTCTGGAACGACTGCTGGCCTCGTCCTGCAGGGCAGTTTTAATACATGGGATGCTTAGAAACATTGGATTTGTCATACATGATTCATGTATGAATTCGCCGGCCCAACGGGCCAGAGGCGTGCTAAGATCTCCGGTAACTTGTTAACAATATTTCTAGTTCGCGCGCGCGGAGCGGCCCCTGGGGGCCCCCGGACGAAAAGTACCCCGGCAAGGTCCCGAGAGAAGCCCGGGAGAAGCCACCAGACCACTCCAGGGGAGGGTATTTTTCGACACCCCTCACGAGGATCGTGGCCTCCGAGGGGGGAGCCGCAATCGACTACCCCCAAGAGCCCCCCAAGAGGCCCTGGGGGCCTCCAAAACGCCGCCAAGGAGCCCCAAGAGACTCCCAAGAGGTCCCCAAGAGGCCCCCAAGAGGCCCTAAAGAGGGCTCCAGGGCCGGCGGCATGAGCGAAGCGATTAAATAAATTTGTGCATGAGCTCATCGTTGTTTTTAGTACTAAATCCCTGCATGTTCAATGCATGATCCGCACGCGGAGCATGTATTAAAAACGGCACTGTACCGTCGGCCTCGATCGGACAGGACGCGCGAGAAGACACGAGACCCCTCCGAGGGCCACGTCACCACAGGAGTGCAAGAAGGCACGTGTCGCGAGGCACGGGACACGAGGGTGCCCTTCAGCCGGCAGGGCCGACCTGCTAATCCGGGCCGACGGTAGTCCTGTCTCGGCTTCACACCCCTCAGACGCTGGTCCTCGGAGGGGCGGCACCGCCCAGGGTGGCAAAAAAAAAAACAGGACGGCGGATCTTAGCAGCCGACCCCAACTGCAGGCGGCAACGCACGCGCGGCTCCGACGCGGGCCGCCGCCCGCTGCGCAGAGGTGCCGACAGGCGATACGGGTGCTTCTCGCGCGGCCGGCGCGCGTCCTCACTGCAGGGCGCAGCACGACTTGGAGGACGCCGCGTGCTCGCGCATGGCCTGCAGGTCCGAGCACATCTTCACCTCGAAAGAGGGGCGGCGTGCCAGAGGGAGCCCAGCTCGTATATGAAGGGGCCCCAGGACACACAAATAGATACACACAAAGAAACAGATTCCCCATAGTTTCCCATACTTTCTGGGTTTCTGTCTTCCCCCCCACTTCCTATATTTTCCCGTATTTTCTGGGGAATCGAGGATTAATTGTGTCTGTGTGTTTGTTCCTCTCCTGAGTATAGTGGGATAGGGTGGCAGTGGAAGGAGCCCAGCGAGCGCGCAGCTTTCCAGCAGGTGCACAGCGCAGTGGCTGCTCTTCGTAGGAGACCGATTTCTGACCACACCCACTTCCCGAGGTGCCTTGCGAAAAGCGGTTTCCAGAGGTGGAGGTGGGCAGTTTCCCCGCCCCAGGGGAAGGAAAAACTACCCACTTCCACCCCCGAGGGCCTATCATAGAATCGAGGATCCAGAGGTGGATGTGGTCAGAAATCGGTCTTCGACTTCTCCCGAGCAGCACTGTGACGCAGGCACGGCGAGCGAGGAACTCTGCCGGAGGCATCGCCCTCACCTCAAGGTGGCCGTGCACGCTCTCTGCTGCCTGCTGCACCTCTGAACCTCCGCCAGCGTGCCCTCGAGGCACGAGTTGGAATGTCCTCGGGTGTCTCGTTCTCAGGAGGCAACTACTGAAAAAAGGTTTTCGTCGGAACGAGGAAAGAGGATGAAGCCCCCTTTGGGAGCGGTTACGCCGGAGCGGGCCTCGGATGAAGCGGGATGAAGCCAGATTAAGCGGGATTCAGCGGGATCAGGCGGGATCAAGCGGGATTCAGCTGGATCGCGGACCAGGGCAGAATCAGAGTTTGACCTCCCAGGAGCTGCATCCGAACTTGTTGGATGCCCTGGAGCCTCAGGCGCCGATCCTGAGGACTCTTGCAAGGGGGCCGGGCCCGCATTGGCCAAGTCTTGTGTCGGGCGTGTCCCCCAACAGGGGGATTTTCGACGAAAAATAAACAGACCCCCAAAATACCCCCAAAAGGCCCAATGCATACTTAAAAAAATAGTCCCCAGGCTATGTTTGGACTATTTTTTAATATTTTTGGTGTATGTTTGTATCTTTCGTCGAAAATCCCTCTGTATTGGGGACAGGCCCGACTTAATGCAAGGGGGCCGGGCCCACGGTGGCCAAGTCGGCCAGGATCGCGGACCAGGGCAAAATCAGCACTTGACCCCCCAGGAGTTGCCTCCGAACTTGCTGGATGCCCTGGATAGGGGGCCACATGCGAACCCTGCCCCTGCCCCGCACGAGTTCTGAGGGGGAGGGCGGGGTTCACTCCGCTCGGGAGCTCCCGAGCGAAGAGAACCCCACCCTCCCCCTCAGAACTCGTGGGGGGCAGGGGCAGGGGTCGCATGTGGCCCCCTGCTGGAGCTTCAGGCGCCGGTCCTGAGGACTCTTGCAGGGGGGCCGGGCCCACAGCGGCCACGTCGGCCGGGGCACGTCGCGCTGCCCCCGGGGGCGTGTCGCGTGGCCCCCAGAAGGGGCCCCTGGGGCGTGTCCTTGCACAGCTATTTTTTTCGGCCACCACGCAGGGCCCCAGGATAGGCCAGGAGGCCCCAAGAGGCCCCCCTCCTCCTCCTCCTCCTCCTCCTCCTCCTCCTCCTCCTCCTCCTCCTCCTCCTCCTCCTCCTCCTCCTCCTCCTCCTCCTCCTCCTCCTCCTCCTCCTGAGGGCCACGCGTCGCAAGACGGCCTCAAGACTGCCCAAGACGCTCCAAGGACGCCTCCAGAGGCCTCCAAGAGGCCTCCCAGGAGGGGCCCCAGAGGCAAAAATCATTGACTGTCCTTTGGTGGTTGGGGGATGTGGGCTTTCTCGCCCTTTCGGCTTCCCGACGCTCCGAAACAGCGTCAGAGGCCCCCAAGATCGCCCCAAGACACCTCCAGGAGGGCTCCAAAACGATCCCAGGGGGCCCAAGACGGCCCGAGACGCCTCCAAGACGGCCCGAGAGGCCTCCGAGACGGCCCAAGAGTCCGAGACGGCCCAAGAGTTCTCCAGGACTGCCAGAGAGTCTCCCAAGACGGCCCGAAGGTGGGGCCCAAACGGGGGCCCTGAGCGGACACTTCGAGCCCTCGGCCCCGGAAAACCCTCGGGAGGCCCCAAGAGGCCCCCAAGAGGCCCGGAAGATGGCCAAGAGAGGCCCCAAGAGGCCTCCCAAAGGCCCCAAGGAGGCCCCAAGAGGTCCCCAAGAGGCTCCAGAGAGGGCCCTAAGAGGCCACCAAGAGTCCCCGAAACTGTCCCCAAGAGGCCCCGAAACTGTCCCCAAGATGCCCCCGAGAGCGCTCCGAAGTGACCCCAAGAAGCATCCCTGAGGACGTTGACTCACAATCCAGCCACGGTGGCGGGATGGGCCGAAGGCCATTAGACCTGGCCCGGCACAGAAACGGAAAGAGCGCTTCAGAAACAGAAACCGAAATTACTCACACCACCGTTCGTACTGGGAGCCTTGGCGTTGAGAGCTTGTTACGTCACCCCTCGCTCTTGGGAGCCTTGGTGTTCAGAGATTGTTGCGTTGCCGCCCGTTCCTGAGCCTTGGCTGGGCCTTGGCGTCAGGAACTTGTTACGTCACCGCTCTCTGCTGGGAGCCTTGGTCTTATCAGCTTGTTTACGTCACCGTTTGCTCTTGGGAGCCTTGGTGTGAAGAGCTTTTTGCGTTACCGATCGCTCTCTATTTGGCGTCTCTGGGCCTTCTTGGGAGTCCTATTGGGGCCCTTGTCGGGCCCTTTTGGAGGCCTCTTGGGAACCTCTTGGGGGCCTCTTGGGGCTTCTTGGGGGGCTCTGGGGGCCTCCTGGGAGCTTCTTGGGGCGAAAGGCTAGACTTTTCGGTTCGTGGTCCCCCTCTTGGGGCCGTCTTGGGGCCCTCTTGGGCCGTCTTGGGCGCCTCTTGGGCCGTCTTGGCGCCCTCTTGGGCCGTTTTGGGGGCCTCTTGGGAGCCTCTTGGGCCGTCTTGGGGCGGTCTTGGGGGCTTCTTGGAGCGTCTTCAACGCAGTGAAAGCCGAAAAGCCTTGTATGCTAAAAATGTACATTTTCCAATAGGAAAATCAATGATTTTCGCCTCCCGGAAGCCTCCTGGGACGCCTCTTGGGGGCCTCTTGGGGCTTCTTGGGGGGCTCTGGGGGCCTCCTGGGAGCGTCTTGGGGCGAAAGGCTAGACTTTTGGGTTCGTGGTCCCCCTCTTGGTGCCGTCTTGGCGCCCCCTTGGGCCGTCTTGAGCGCCTCTTGGGCCGTCTTGGCGCCCTCTTGGGCCGTTTGGGGGGCCTCTTGGGAGCCTCTTGGGCCGTCTTGGAGGCCTCTTGGGCCGTCGTCAACGCCGTGAAAGCCGACAAAGCGCATATGCTAAAAATACACGCTTCCCTCTGGAAAATCAATGATTTCGGCCTCTTGGGGCCCTCTTGGGACGCCCCTTGTGCGCCTCTTGGGGGCCTCTTGGGGGCCTCTTGGGCGGTCTTGGGCGGTCTTGGGCTCTCTTGGAGCGCTCTTGGGCCGTCTTGGGGGGGAACCCGAAAAACATGCAAAAACCCGAGCGCACGCTACCCCCCTCCCCTGGAACCCCTCCCTTTAGGGCTTCGCCCACACCAGAACTTCATCACTCGTACCTCGCTCTTTCCGTTATCCGCCGCCCCCTGTCGATTCATCGCTCCACGTTCGGCCACATAGGCTCTTCCAAAAAGGCAGGGGGCGGCGGTGATTCGCCGTAGGCGTCTTCGATCCGCCGCCCCTGTCGATTCATCGCAGGGGTGCCTGGCGTGCTAAGCTTCTTACGGTTTTGGTTTTGGTTCTTTTTCCAAAACAACTCCCCCAGGGGCTTCGGCCCGTCCCGCCGGGGTCCCGGGAGGGTTGCCCGGACCCAGTTGCAAAGGATTTTTCTCTCCAGATGGCTTCAAGACGGCCCAATGTGGCCTCCAAGATGCATCCAAGACGGCCAAGATGGCCTCCAAGACGGCTAAGATGGCTCCAAGATGCCTCCAAGACAAGCCAAGATGCACCCAAGACGGCCTAGGATGGCATCAAGATGGCCCAAGACGGTCTCAGAGGCGTCCAAGAGGCCTCCGATACGGCCCACGAGGCCCCCAAGAGGTCCTCCAGGAGGGCCCGAACAGGCCAGAATCATTGATTTTCCGCAGGTGTTTTCCGGATGTTGGCATTTGCGCCTTTTCGGCTTTCCGACGGCCCACGACGCCCAAGAGGCCCCCAAGGTCGCCCCAAGATCGCCCAAGAGGCCTCCAAAATGGCCCCATGACAGCCCAAGAAGCCCCCAAGACGGCCCCAAAAGGGCCCCAAGACAACCCGGGAGGCTCCCAAGACGCCCAAGATGGCCTCCAAGACGGCCCCGAAGCGCACCAAGAGGGCCCCAAGTCGGTTCAGAGAGGCCCCCAAGACGGCTCCCGACGGCGTCAGACGGGCCAGGAGCCCACCAAGATGGCCGAAGTTGGCTCGAAGCTGGCCCAAGACGGCCCAAGAGGCCTCCAAGAGGGCCTCAAGGAAGGCCAGAAAAGGCCCAAAGCACTGATGTTCTTTAGGTTTTGAAGGATTTTGACATTTGCTTCTTTTCGGCCGTCCGACGGCCCGAGACGGCCCAAGAGCCCTCAAAGATCGCCCAAAGATCCTACAAGATGGCCCCAGAACGGGCCCCCAAGACGGCCCCAAGAGGGCCCCAAGACAACCCGGGAGGCCCCCAAGACGCCCAAGATGGCCTCCAAGACGGCCCTGGAGCATTCAAAGAGGGCCTCCAAACCGGCTCAGAGAGGCCCCCCTAACGGCTTCCGACGGCGTCACACGGACCAGGAGCCCACCAAGACTGCCGAACATGGCCCTCAGATGGCCCAAGACGGCCCAAGAGGCCTCCAAGAGGGCCTCCAAAGGCCCGAAAAGGCCAAACTCATTGATTTCCCACGAGTTGTTGAAAGGATTTTGGCATTTGTTTTTTTTCTGCCTTCCGACGGCTCGAGACGGCCCAAGTGCCCCCACAGACGCCCAAGAGGCCCAAGACGGCCCCAAGAGGCCCCCAAGATGGCCCAAGAGGCCTCCACGACGCTGAATGAAGATGGCCTCTCAGACGGCCCAAGAGCCCTCCAAGACGTCCTCCAAGAAGGCCCGAAAGGGAAATGGCCTCCAGACGGCAAAGATGACCTTCAAGATGCCCCCGTGTTCCCCGAAGGCTTTCCAAACCGATTCGGGGAACACATGGTCCGATAGCTTGGCAGGTCTGGCCTCAACGTTCGACCACATAGGCGCCTCCAAAAAGGCAGGGGGCGGCGGTGATTCGCCGTGGGCGTCTTCGATATATGAGTATCGTCTCTTCATTCTGCTATTGCTCTCGCCCGAATTCCGGCAATGTACACGACAGAGGCCCCTGAGCTCTCGTCGTCATCTACCTGGCCAGCTGTTCGGTCAGGGCCTGGGTAGACCGAAATCTTGTTTATATTGAAACAGCACATACAAACAAACAAACGAACAAACAAACAAACGACAACAAACTCGTCATCCTTGCATTTGTTCCTAGCAGCGCCAGCCAGATCCTCCTGCTTCCTCTCACAACAAGCCGATCCAGGTCCTTTCGGGGGCATGGATGCGGGGCGGGATATCCCCCTATCGCCCAGGACAGGTTCTTGGTCCTAAGTCGTGTCCTGAAGATCCCGAGGCTGCCAAAAGCAAAGGAATAACTCAAGGTCAGGATCATCTTCCTTCATGGTGTGTGGTATTGGATGCCACGACCCTTCTGGAATGTCCCTGGACGCAGCGTGAACAGTATGAGCGAGAGAGAGCGCTCTGAATGATCACCCTGCGGCCAGACCCACACCCTTCCGCCTTTGCCTCCTCCTCCTGCTCCACCTCCTCCTCCTCCTCCTCCTCCTCCTCCACCCCTGCCCCCTCGCCCGTTCCCCCCTCCCCCTCCCCAACCTCCTCCTCCGCCTCCTCCACCGCCTCCTCCTCCGCCTCCCTCCGCACCCTCAAGCAAGCCCCCACACGTACCCTCCTCCTTTCTCCTGTTTCGATGGATCTTTCAAGTCGCGTCACGGCTGAAAGCCAGCATCCAGGAACAGCGCAGACGGATCGGCCTGCAGGGTGCACATGTGGATCGTCAAGCTTCCCTGACCCAACCCCATCCTGGCAGCTTTCGCTTGCGATTTGCTCGGCGGAGAAAAACTGCGCCCGCCCCCCCCCCGTCCTTCCCCCCGCCCTTCCCATGCGCAGGCCTTCTCCGGGCTCACGCCCGTCTCCTTCAGTTGCACGGTGAGCGCCGTGAGCCCGCTGGGCAGCCCTGAAGGCGGGGGAGTGGGCATGATGGGAGCGGTTGACGTGTGGGCGGGTCAGCCTCGTTCTGCCCCCCTTCCTCGTCCTCCGTCCTTCGTCCTCCTCCTCCACCACTCCTCCTCCATCCTTCCTCATCCTCCCCCCTGAAATCCTCGGCACGTTCAAAGAGGTTTCGATATCTGTATATCATATTGATGATACGAAAAATAATAAAAGATACGAATAATAATAAAAAAGAAAAGAAATGATGAAACTAAAGTGTTAATCATAATAATACTAATAATAATAGTAGTAATAATAATAATAAGAATAATAATAATACGAATGGTAACGATAGTAATAGCAATACTAATGTGCATATATATAATTAGTAACGATGCACCTATAGAAGTTCGTATACATGCGCATCAGTGTGTACGTCGCTCGTACTCCAGGAGGGTCCACACGGGCGCCGCCGAGTATAAATGCGCATCAGAGTGGTTGTACATATGTTTTCGTACATACATATGCATACACACCTGTGTATATACATGTATACATATATATGTATATATATGTATACGTATGTGTAAATATGTGCTCGTGCGGACCCGTGGATAAATCCACTGAGCTGCGTGAGAGGAAATTTGCCGACGCACGCTTCTGTCCCTGGCGCGCACAGGCCACCAATCTGCGGTGTACGATCGACAACCAACGTGAGATCGATGATGTTGGGAGTCCTCCTGGGGCTCTGTTGGGGCGTCTTGGGCCCTCTGGTGCCATCTTGACAGCATCTTCGGCCGTCTTGGGGCCCTCGTGGGCAGACTCGGGTCCCTCTTCGCCTGTCCTGGGGGCCTCTTGGGGGCTTGCTGGGCCGTCTTGGGAGCCTCTTGGGTGTTTATTGCCCCATCTTGGGGACCTCTCTGGCCCTCCATGGGCCCCCGTCCTGGGCTGTCTTGGGGCTCTCTTGGGCGCCTCTTGGGCCGTCTCGGAGCGACCCTGGAAGCCTCTTGGGCCGTCCAGGGGATCCAGACGGTCCAGAGCGCGAGAATCGCAGAATCTGCCGGAAGCCCATCAGATTTCGGCCTCTTGGGGCCCTCGAGGGTGTCCCCTCGGAGCCGTCTCGGGGCGTCATGGCGGGTCATGGGGCCGCCTTGGGAGCATCTTGGGTCGTCGGAGGACCGTATTGGGTCAAGTCGGGGCCGTCGTTGGTCGTCTCGGTGCCTCCTTGGGCCGTCTCGGGGCTCTTCTGGGGAGCTCTGGTGCCGTTTCGGGGCCCTCTGGGAACCCTCCGCTGCTGTTTCGGGCTCCCTGGGCCGCTCGGGGAACTGGGGGTCCCCCCAAACCCGCCAGGCTTCCGACGGATTTATGTGAATAGACGTATGCATGTATGCACTCCCTCCAGGCCACCACATCGGGGAGACGTTCTCCCTCTCCTCCTCCTCCTCCTGCTCCTCCTCCTCCTCCTCCTCCTCCTCCTCCTTCTCCTTATTAGTACTACTCTCATGAATAGTATTATTAGTAGTATTAGTATTACGAGTATTACTTTCCTTGATAATATTATTGTTATTATTATTAGTATTGATAGTGTTCGTATTATTCGTCTTAGCTCTATTATTATGATTAATAATATGAGTATGATTAAGAATTGGTATTATTGGTATTAATATTATTAGCATTATGATTATTATTATTATTATTATTATTATCATTATTATTATTAGTAGTAGTATTATTCGTATTCGTATTCGTATTATTAGTATTCCTCTTCTTCTTCCTCTTACTCCTCTTCCTCTTCTTCCTCTTCTTCCTCCTCCTCCTCCTCGCCCTCCTCCTCCTCCTCCTCCTCCTCATCCTCTTCCTCCGCCTCCTCCTCCGCCTCCGCCTCCGCCTCCGCCTCCGCCTCCGCCTCCTCCTCCTCCTCCTCCTCCTCTTCCTCCTCCTCCTCCTCCTCCGCCTCCTCCTCCTCCTCATCCAATCCCCTATACGCTTTCCTGGGTAGCATGTGTTTCCACTACGCCACCTGGCTGGGAGATCCGCCACCGTGCCGCGAGGTGTGAGTTGGAGCGTTTTCATGTCCCTTGAGGATTGAATCTGGAGAGATCAGATCCCCAAGTCCCCAGAATCTGCGGGCCGTGCCGCGTGTCTCCTGGGGTTCCCGCGTGCCCCCACTAGACTTGGTTGGAGGTCAGGGCGCCCCAAGACGGGTCAGCAGGGCCCCAAGAGGATCCCAGCACGGTCAAGACGGCCCCGAATCGGCCTAGCAGCGCTCCAACATGCTCAAGATGGGTTCAAGACGACCCAAGCTCACATGATGCCCAGCCCCACGAGCTTTACCAAGAAGGCCGCAAAACGCCAAAGCCATTGATGCCACAGTATTATCTTAATGATTCTAGCGCTCTCGCCTACTCAGGCTTTAGACATTCTGAGAAGGCCCAGGAGGCCCCCAAAATCGCCCAAAGATGGCCCAAGCGGCTCCCAACGGGGCCCCAGGACGGCCCGAGAGAGCCCCAAGACAGTCCAGAGGGCCGCCGAGAGAGCCCAAGAGAGCCCCAACGAAGGCCCTCGAGAGGCCTCCAAGCGGGAGCACGAACAGACATGTCGAGCCCTCCGCTTCAAACTGACTCCCGTCGCATTGCAATCCCCGGTGCAGACATGGCTGGGTGCGCATCCCGCGAGACAGAAAAATGCTGCTCTCGCCTAATGATGTCGAGTGCTCTATGTGATACAACTCTAACAGGATACAGCCCCATCTCCAGGTATAAATACCTGAATACTTGCTCACGCCGTTTCTGTGCGTCGCTTTCTGCCAAAAAGGCACGAAAGAGGCAGCGGCAGAGCGGAGCCGCGCGAGAGCGGGCGCCGTGCTGCCATCGCCCAGGCGCCGCACATCTGGAGCGCAGACGTTGCAGTGGTGCTCCGGCGCGGCGCATGCCTCGTCTTCGCCGCGGTCATCGGAAGGTCGGCCGTCCGAGGAAGGCAGAAGTGACCTCTCACCGCAGCGCCGACGCCGACGCCGACGCCGACGCCGCGCACAGATTGTCTGAGGTTTCGCTCCCGCCAGCGAACCGCCAGGTCGGGGTCCTTCTCTTCGGGCCCGCAAGTTCCTCCTTCTCGCCAAGTCGTCGGAAGCAGGACCGCTCGCGAACGCATTCCGTTCGCTAGGTGGGAAGCCGGTTCGGTCCCCAGATTGCGTGATGCCACAATTCAATACTATGGTATGACCTGGCTAACTTGCCCTCCCTACTGCTCCTCCTCCTTCTCCCAGCTCCCCCGTCATGTTCATCCACTTAATCTGCCTACTGCTCTGCTACTGCTCCAGCAGCTCCCGCTGCTCCTCCTATTGCTCCTGCTCCTTGCTCTACTCCTCATCCTCCCCTTCTCCTCTTTCCCATCTTCTCTGTCTCCTCCTCCTCCTCCTCCTCCTCCTCCTCCTCCTCCTCTTCCTCCCACTGAACTCCTCCGACCTCCTCTTCTACCTCCTGTTCATCATCCTCCTCATGTTCCTCCGCCTTCCCCTGACGACGAGGGAGGGGAGAAGGGGGGAAGGCGGGAGAAGAAGAAGAAGAAGAAACAGAAGACGGGGAGAAGACAGGGAGGCGAAGAGGGAGAGCAGGGCTGGCGGGAAGAGGTGACTGGGGAAAGCAGCAGAAGCACGACGAGGGGGGGGAAGCAGCAGCAGCAGCGCAATCCATCTGACACTTGTGTCATCCCTCTTCTGTTCCTGATGATCTCCTCCCTGCATCAGCACCATCATCCTCCTGCTCCTCCTAATTTCCCGCCTCGCCCTCCGCCTTGTTCCAAGTCATACCCCCCCTCCTCCTCCTCCTCCTCCTCCTCCTCCTCCTCCTCCTGCTCCTCCTTCTCCTCCTTCTCCTCTTCATTATCACCATCCTCATCCTCATCCTCATCCTCCTCATCATCAGCATCATCGTCATGAGCATCAACATCAGCAGCATCATCATCATCCTCATCGTCAGCAGCAGCATCAACATACGCATCATCATCACCAACAACGACATAATCAAAATCGTACAACATCACTTCATCATAACTCGCACCATCACCACCACCCCGATCGGCATCCGATCACGACAACAATCGCGTGGATCGAAATCACGACAACCATCACGACAACCATCATCAAACTCAAAATCACGATCACCATTGTCATCATCACCACCATCATGATCATCATCACCATCATCGTCGTCATCATCACCATCACCACCACCACCACCACCCCCACCACAACCACCACCATCATCATCATCATCATCATCATCATCATCATCAGCAGCAGCAGCAGCAGCATCATAACCAGCATCGTCATCGTACTCATAAGTATCATGTTCATCAACAGAATCACCTGCATCATCAGCATCGTCATCATCATCATCAGCATCATCAGCAGCATCAGCATCACCAGCATCATCATCAGAATCATCGTCATCATCACCAGCATCATCAACATCAACAACATCAATACCAGCATCATCACCGTCGTGTTCCGCATCGTCATCGCCATCATCATCATCATCATCATCATCATCATCATCATCATCATCATCATCACCGTCAGCATCACCATCATCAAACTCAGCATCACCATCATCAAACTCAGCATCGCCATCAGCATCATGATCATCAGCATCATCAACATCGCCATCATCATCATCATCATCATCATCATCATCATCAGCATCATCATCATCACCATCACCATCACCATCATCGCATCATCACTATCCCGCTCGTCATCGCCGCCACCAGCATCGTCATCAGCATCTCCGTAGCATCATCATGCTTACCCGCATCATCATCAGCAGCATCATCATCACCCGCATCCGCATCCGTACCCTCATCACTCTCGGAACCATCATCACCGTCACCATCATCGCCGCCATCGCTCTCAGCCTCACCATCAGAATCACCAGCATCTTCAGCATGGTCATCGCCATTATTCGCATCATCCGCATCAACATCACCACCACTTCATCTTCAGTATCAGCCGACACCATCACCATCAGCATCTCCACCACCACCACCACCACCATCATCATCATCATCATCATCATCATCATCAGCACCATCATCACTTTCATCATCATCATCACCATCATCGTAATCAAAAGCATTATCATCATTATCATCAGCATTATCGTCATCATCATCCTCGTCACCCTCCTCCTCCTCCTCCTCCTCCTCCTCCTCCTCATCATCATCATCATCATCATCATCATCATCATCGTCAGCATCCTCATCATCATCGTCAGCATGATCATCATCATCGTCATCATCAGCAGCATCATCTGCATCACCACCATCATCCATCAATCCCCGTCCTGCTAATATACGTCCCGTTCGTTTCCAAACCTGTCCTCGCCCCCTTCTCGACGGCGAACGTCGGCCGCGAAGCACCGTCATGGGCACGGAGCCCTCATCACCCGAAGCTGCTCCCGGGAGCCAGGCGCGCCGTGGGATGGAGGCAGGGAGACCACCTGGGGCAGCATCCTGGGTCGGGGGTCGAGCTAAGCAATGGTTGTCGTGCTCGTTTTGTGGTCGTCGTCCTTCGTTGTGTCTTCATTCTCCCTGTGCTGCGAAACGGAATCGAAACGACAAAGGTCCACGAAATCGCAAAAAAAAACGATGAACTGGAGCCCTGTGGGGTGCTTCGGCTTCCCGATCCGGGTTCCCGCTGCAGGGAGGAGGGGGCGCGAAAGGGAAGGTGGCGGCAGTGAAGGGCGGGCGAGGACGGGAATCGCGAAGAAGGAAACCCCGGGGGAACCCGATCCGAGCCCCCTCTGCAGACTGCAGCGAGAAGGGGCGCGGGGAAGGGCAGGCGGCGGCAGAGGAAGCGGGCGAGGCCGGGAAGAACACGAGAGAGGAAACCGGGGAGGAGGGGCGCGGAAGGACGGCGGCGGCAGGGCGGGGTCGGGAAGCACGGAGAAGGAGGAGCCCATGTCCCGCGGGTCTGGTGTGGTGGTCTCCGCACTCTCGCCCTCTGTGGCTTCTGTCGGCGCGAGACGACCCGAGAAGCCTCCACGATGGCCCCAAGACTGTCCAGGAGGCCCGCCCCGGAGGTTCCACCGCCCCCTCGCCCCAGCCTCCCCTTCCTTCTGAATCGCCGATCCTGTCTCTTCCCCCTCGCCCTCTTTCTGAATCGCCGATCCTCCCTTCTCATTCCTCCCCCATCCTTCTCACTCTTCCCTGGGGCCCTCCCCCTCCCCATCCCCCCCCCTCCTTCTGAATCGCCGATCCTCCCTTCTCATTCCTCAATCGTCCCTCCTCTTCCCTCCCCCCCATGGCACCTCACTCTGCCCTGCCCCCTCGTCGGGGGGCACGCCACGGCGCAGGTTGTGGCGGGGGAAGGCTCCCCGCGCGCTCCTGGCAGACCGCTGCCAGGCGGGGTGGGAGCCTTCTGCTGCTGGTGGGCGGGCGCCGACAAGGGGGTGGAATACCGGGCGCTCCGAGGCCGAGGCAACCCCCAGAGCGGCCTCCCGGGAGTTGCCTCGACAGGGGAGGAGGGAAAATCGTGGGGAGAGAAGGAAGGGGGGGGGGCTGGAGCAGGGAGGGAGAGGGCGGGGGGTGGGGGAGGGGGGGGCGGCGAGGGAGACGGTGAGACGGGGAGGGCAGGGGGGGGCAGGGAGGCCGTGGGCAGGAGAAGCGGGAGGGGGCCAAGAGCGGATGGGCGAGGTGGAACAGGCGAGGCGAGGGAGGGGGAGAGGGAGGAGGTGGGGAGGGAGGAGAATAGAGGGGGGGGGAGAGGGGGAACAAGAAGGGGGGGGTCCGAGGGAGGGGGATGGGGGAGGGGGGGAGGGAGGGGCGGTGCGAGAGAGAGGGCGCGGGGCGGGCCCGTCCTCTCGCCAGTGCGACGACGCTCTTGTCGCTGATCCTGGGGAGGAGAGTGGAGGACGCCCCGTCGATCGGACGTCCATTGGTGCGTGGCTTTTTTCGCAGGACGATCCAGGATGCTCCTTAATAATCCCCGCCGAGAAAAATTGCACACGTCCGAGCGATACCAAGAGGAAGGAGGAGAAGAGAATCGAGGGAGCGGATCGAGGAGAAGAGGGTCGAGGGTCGAGGAACAGGGCGACGAGGATCGAGGGCGTTGAGGCAGAGGATCGAGGAGACGAGGAGACGAGGGTCGAGGGAGAGGAGGAGAAAGGGGGAGGAAGAGAACTGAGGGTTCGGGGGGCGGGGAGCGTGTTTGAATGCGTTTGGCCACTCTGGGAGCTCTGGAGACCCCTGGAGACCTCCCAGGGAGGGAGGGGACGCTTGCCCCAGGGACGGAAGCAGGATCACCTGCGGGCGGCGGCGGCGGGGGGCACGGGCCCAGCGCCCCGGTGGCGTCCGCTGCTCATTCCGTGGGCCCCCGAGACAATGAACAACACACGACCGAAGATGAAGGCATCGGGGACGCGCGTGCCCGTGAGAATGAAGGGGCCCTGGGACACACAAATAAATACACACAATGAAAGGATTCCCGATATGTTACAATATATGTTCGGGGTGTTTGTCGTCCCCCCCTTCCCACTTCCCATATTTTCCCATATTCCTGGGAGTGGACGATTAATTGTGTCTGTGTTTTTTCCCCTCCTGAGAGAAGGCGGCGCGGCCACCATGCAAACTCCACTCAGGCCCCGGCTAAACTACAGGGGGGGTCGGCGAGGCCTGGCGCCGACGTGCGAACGCGACTGCAAGCGCGCTGGCTGTGATTGAATGTGAGGCGTGGGCTGCCAGGCGAATGCTCATCCAAGACGTGAAAGTCAGCGAGCAAGACCCCGATGGTGACAAAGCCGAGCAGGTCGCCCAAGTCTGCATTTGCAACAATGCGCTTTAGTATGTCTGAATGCGTGTTGCTGCGTTTGTTCGTGGTGGGGCGACACATCAGCCTGGGTCCACGCCACACAGGATGGCGAATCGCAGCCGTCGAAAACGAGAACCAAATCAGAGCTCCAATAATGCCACGCATGAAAAATGAACTGCGTGCCTTGAACCGTCGTATCCTGTTGGGGTGTTCGCCTCCTGCTTGAATTCAGCCATGCTCCCACAGCCTTAGTGGCGTTCTTTGAAGGAGTGATAATCTCGGATTTGGCTCTGCTGCCGGTGGCTTCTGAGAGCCAATCTCGAGGCCTACCAAACCGCAGCGATGTGCCCCTCTGGCTCAAGCCTGCCTGGGTGGTGGGCGGCCCGCGCTGCTGCATACGAACTTGATACGGGTGTTGCGGCCGATCCGCATAATGCGCTCGTGGAGTGAGCTTTCGATCCTGGATAGCTGAATGATTTCCCTGCCGGTAAGGAGACCCAGCGCCAGTCTGCCCACGACACTGACGATGATCCTTCAGGCCCAGCCTGCCCAGAAAGGACCGGCGGCTCTGTCACGTGCAGGTGTTGCTGGTTAAATTGGCCCGCTGCTGGTCCCGCACCGATGCGGCCCGTCCCCACTCTCCGCGAGGGACCTGCTCTGCCAGTCCCATCTTCGTGGGCAGGCTTCTGCGAGTGCTGCAGCCGCTGGTGCCAGAGCCTCGGAGCTGGCTCGCCAGGCAGAAGAGGCGAACCGCGACGACGACGCCCAGGCTTCTGTCGGGCAACGCTTGGGGGTTAATGAAGGGGCCCTGGGACACACAAATAAATACACACACAAAAAAATGATTCCCAATATTTTCCCATATTTTCTGGGTTTTTATCTTCCCCCCCCACTTCCCATGTTTTCGCATACTTTCCTGGGGATCGACGATTAATGGTGTCTGCGTGTTTTTCCCCCTCCTGAGTTACGAACCAGGGCGGTGACAGGCCGTGCGGCGACCTCGGAATCCCCACAAAAACCTCACCGCACGATATTTCGGGAGCGCGGGGGCCCCAGTCGTACGCGAGGCGTCCTTCGGGAACCGCTCGCGTCCCAAGCCCGTGCGGTGACCACGACTCCCAAGTGACTCACTGGCCATCGCTCGGACGTCCATTCCCTGTGCTTTCTCCGGTTTCGTGCGCGGATGATCAAGGATGCTCCTCGATGGTCCTCGCCGAAGAAAAAATGCACGCGTCCGAGCGATGCCGAGCTCACAGATGATGTGGTCTCCGCACCGTTTGGGGGCGCTGGGACACACAGATAAATACACACAAATAAAAGGATTCTCAATATTTTCCTGTATTTTCTGGGTTTCTGTCTTCCCCCCCCACTTCCCATATTTTCCCATACTTTCTCGGGAATCGACGATTAATTGTGTCTGTGTGTGTTTTTTCCCATCCTGAATCTTGGGCACCTGATGACCCACGTGGTTGGTGGCCTGGGGGCTCTGGAGCCGCGCGCTCGTGCACAAGGCTCTCTGGGTCCTCGCAGCGGCGGACTGGCCAATGCCTGCGGGTGCATGCCCAGCTCAATGAAGGGGCCATGGGGCACACAAATAAATACACACTAATAACAGGATTCCCCATATTTTCCCATATTTGCTGGGTTTTTGTCTTCCCCCCCACTTCCCATATTTTCCTATATTTTCTGGGGAATCGAGGATTAATTGTGTCTGTGCTTTTTCCCTCCTGACTCAACTTCGTCGCGCGCACCACACTAACAGAAACAGAAACTGCGTGTACATACACTTTCGACGGTCCGTGCGAATTTCTCTGATCTGCACAGGACCCCCCCTCCCTGGCGCATGGAGCGCGCCAGGGGCGGCGCAGGAGGCGCCGCCAGAGGGAGGCCAGCGCAGATCCAAGAAATCCGCGCGGACAGACGAGACGTCATGTTTACACAATTCTTGCTTCTTCGGCCAGTTTCGGGCTGGGCGAAAGGATAGCAAAAGGGAGGTTTGAGAATCAGCTCACGTAGCTGATTTTCCTGGCGCCTCCCGGCGCCGGGAGGCGCCCATCTATCGAGGAATGGGCCTGGCGGCGGGGCCGAAACCAGCTGCATGCAGCAGATTTCGTAACCCCCCCTGTCCCAATCCCCCCCTTTCGTTCGGCCCGACTCACGGAGGCCAAACAAACGCAGAAACGTCCATCTTCGAATCATCCTCGACCCCGAAGGACGGCGACGGCCGGTGCCCTGTGCCGACGACCACAACGATTGGAGGCGGCAGGGGGGGTCTGACCTGATCGGGACCCAAGAAAATCGGTCGGGAGAGGAGCTGAGGACAAATCCGCTCAAAATCTGTCCCTGGACCCCCCTGGGGGGCATCCGGTGCAATTTTTCACCCAGGATCCTTTTTCTAGTCCTGGACCCTGAAACGGCCCCCATAGGACGAAAAAGAAAACATAAAACCCAACACGCAAAAAAACCTTCCCAGACCAGAGCCTCGAACCTGCCGGCCCTTCCTGTTGGCCGGAACCAACTGCTGAGCCAGCGATACCAATACCAATACCGATACCGCTAGTCCCCAGACCTCTACCTGGGCGCGTTCTGACCAGGATTTCGAAGCGAACCTCCAGCGGTGGCGACGAAGGCCTCCCAGGAGGGCCCCAAAAGGGAAAAGAGGGAAGGGTAGCGGCATGAGCACCTCTTCAGGGGAACAACAAGTGACCTAAACATAAAAACTCTGAGGTCCGCGCGGATTTCTCGGATCGGCGCTGGGGCCCCCCGGCGGCGCCTCCGGCGCCGCCCCTGGCGCGCGGAACGCGCTAGGGCGGGGGGTCCAGCGCAGATCCAAGAAATCTGCGCGGACCTCAGAGTTTTTATGTTCATGCCATTCTTTCGTTTCCCTACTCTTGCGCTCCTCCAGACCCCCAGGCGGCTCCAAGACGACGACGCCGACGCCGACGGCCCTCGACGGCGGCCCTCGACGGCCCCCGGGCGGGCGGAGTCCCGGCGCATCCCCGGGCGGAGAACCGCAGCCGCTCGAGGCCGGCGGGCAGCGCCCTGTCGGGAGCGGCCAGGAGGGGGGATAGCCAAGAGGGGGGGGTGCAGATCATGACCGGCGGCATGTGCGCGGCCCCGCGGGGGGGCCAGGGACGTCATGAAATTTAAGAAGGGGCGCCGGGAGATCCGGGGAAATAGCATGGCCCACGCCATGATATCCATCCCCCCCTATAGTCATCACCCCCCTCATTGCCGCCCCCGAACCTGGCCAGGCCCTGCACGCCCGGGTCGCCGATGCCCTGGCACTCCGCAAAGTCCAGGGAGGTCGAGGAACGGAGAACGCCATATATTACCAGCCTGGAGCATATCCCTATCCCTATGCTGGGCATCTCCTCATCACGATGCCGATCTTAGGGATTCCCTTATTTTTTGAGGGCCCATCCCTAAGATTGTCGTCGCCTTTTGGCGTGTCAATCTTAGGGATAGGGATAAGTTCGAGGCTGGTAAATAGAAGCGTGGGCTTCCGCATGGGGATCGCAGGAACACGGGCCAGGGGCGCGTGGACTCGCGACGGGGCGCGCTTGCCGTGCAGAAATCGGCGCGCTCCTGTCGCAGAGGCAGGCGGCGCCCGCCTCTACGCTGCAGGAGAGCCTTCCCTCCTCCTGCTCCTCCTCCTCCTCCTCCTCCTC